TCTGATTTTCTATAACCCAGGGAAGATTCTGGTATTGAAAAGGTTTTGACAGCAGGTTAGTGAAATGAAAATATAATGTAAAATGGTTTATGGGTTAGAGAGTTAGATATGTCAAAGTCAAGGAAGGACAAAGGCTCAGTGCCAGTTAGCACTTTGCCTTGCAGGTAAATGAATTTTCAGGAAGAATGAACTGAACTAGTGTTCAAGGAAGAAATTGTTGAGGATTAGAGATGTAAAGGAAGATGGAAGAAGAGGTTAAGTTGATCAGGGCTGGAGGTCAGGGCTGAAATGTCATTCTTCTGGAGTGGTATATAACTTGTGAGTGGCTCATCACATGGTCTCAGTAGAAATGACAAGAACAGTCACATCAGAAAGTAGCAGCCCAAGGTAAACACAGAATCTGATTAGATCATCTATTTTCAATACAAGAGCTTGGCTTCTAGTGTCCAAAGGCTGAAATGTCATTAAGATTTCTCTCCAAGAGAATTTTCAAATCAGATGAGCCTTCCTCAGCACTTAATAAACAAACTTATGAGAAACAAATGAACAACAAAAACTCTCCACCATATTACACCAAGCTGTCCGCACAGTTCACTAGAGTCCAAAGTCTAGAACTCTATTTGGTTATGAGGATTTCTCTACTGTTGAAATGAAGAGTGAGAAAAACACTCTGATGCTTTCACATAGGACGTCTTTCTTAGTTTGGCACCAAAGGGATCCTAAGAGATTGGCCAAGAGACAAGATCCTAAGGGGTGTGCAGTAATAAATGTGAGTAAGAGGCAGAAGACTAGCTAAATAGGGTCAACTGGAGTTGAAGTTTGAAAGGAAGCAGATAGCAGGGCAGGGGATGTTGGTAGAAGAAAGAGCTCTCTGTTAGGTAGGTATGTTCAGTGTCCATAGAAAAACTAGGGGCAGTGAGCAAGCAGGGGAAATCGGCCCCACTGTGGTGCCAAGTTTCATGGTGTCCTAGAACTTTGGTTATTGGTGTTGACATGCCTCAGTAGGTCAAGTGACGTAGCAGCCACTCTAGTGTCATCTCCTCAGAACTGGGCATCATGCCTCCATTCCTGTGACTTGGCCTGCCTTCTCTTTGTGTTTACTTTGTTTTCCACCAGTGCCACAGAAAGACTTTGGGCCAGATTAACTCATGGGCCACTGGTCACTCATAGAGGTTATCTTTGACTCAGGAATCGACCCTAGTCCAATAGTTTGTGGCCAGGGTAATAGAGTCACAAACCCTCGTGATCTATACACAACGATCCACTTCCGACCACTTTTCAAAAGGGAACCACAGGTATGGCAGGCACTGTTTCATAGACACCTCTCTGACATTAGACCTCAACAACAGCTGGGATTTATTCCATTTGGGGTTTACACCAGTTGTGCAGCCTTGCAGATTCCAAAATAAGACATGCTCTTTATAACTAAAATATTCATGAGGCTGGATCCAGAGATCCAGGCGATATTGTGCTTCTCTCAACAGAATTCTTCTAAGTTGTATATTGGCCCCTATATATAGAAAAGCTCTTGGACACCACCACATCCAGTCAGCCCACCTTTTTACTCCAGCCGTTGCCATGGCAACCATATGCACAGGTTACTTCCTTAGTAACATTGCATATCTTTTACTTTCTTCCTTGTGGCTTCTCTGCCACCTCCACATGTAACGCAATGGGAATGAAGTCAGCCACTCTGATACAGGTACAAACCTAGAAGTGCTAGGATTTAACATTCCAGGGCAAACTTTGACCAATGATAGATAAATACTCCTCTCTTTGCTACCTCAGGTGATCTATTCTGAGGTGCGTTCTGCATGACTCCTCAGAGTGTCCCTAGCAGGACTGAGCCTCAGTAGCCCACAGCAGTGACAAGCTTGACCATACACCCTTGGGTTGACTTTCCCCCCTTCCTAGTTTCACTTTTCCCAGTCTTCCACATTCCTGTTTCCTGGGATCACTTCCTCAAATAAACTACCTGCATAAAAGCCCTTGTCTAAGGCTCTACTTTTTGGGAGGAACTCAGGCTAAGACAACCATTCCTTCCAATAACTACTTCCAACTACTTCTTTAGTGAAGTAGTTCCTATGAATTAGGAAACATGTCTCAGTCTTTAACATGTTGGATTGATGCTAAACTTTCAAAATGAAACACTGTTTCCTTTTATTCCAAGTACTTTATAAGCATCTTCTTTTCACCCCAATATATCTTAGTACCCGAAAGTGAATGGAGGCAGAGTGGCAGTCCTGTGAGTGAGGTTCAACTTCAGATCTCCAAGCCCTACTGTACCTTTGAACCCATTGTAATCCATTTGATCCCTTGGCTAAGCATCACCAGAGAAAGTCTGTGAAGATGTTTGTTCCCTCCCCAACCTGCTAAATTAAACCGTCCATGGGTAAGGCTTGGAACCCTGGTGGCGCAATGGTTAAGTGCTCGGTTGCTACCTGAAAGGTCGGCTGTTCTAACCCACCAGCTGGCTCCACAGGAGAAAAGATTTGGTGATCTATTCCCATAAAGATTACAACCTAGGAAACTCTATGGGGCAGTTCTTCTCGGTCATATAGGATCGCTATGAGTTGGAATCGACTCAATGGCACACAACAACAACAACAACATGGGTAAGGCTCAGGCATGTGAGTCTTTCAAAACCCTCCCAGTAATTCTGGTGTGCATCCCCAGTTGAGAATCATTGCTTTAAACCTATAAATCTACCCAAGAAGGAAACTGCATCCAATCAGTTATTAGTGCAATCTCTGATAAAATATAATCAAAAACACAATTGATTCTTTCAAAATGAATATGAGGAATAATGAAAACTGGCTCTCTGCAAGAGTGCACAGAAGCATTCTGCTTGTAAAGAGTGAATACTGTTGATCCATAATTCTAATGAAAATTACAGGAATCCATTCATTTATTCTTTGAGAACCTACGATGGCTTAGACAGTATAGGAGACACGAAGGATGAAAAGATGAATAGAAAAGAGTCTCTGTCCTTAAGAATGAAGGATAATAGAACCAATGTGTTGAATGGGATGTGAAGAAATCAGAACTTTATTTTTTGTCTTCCACTGTACTTTAAACTTGTTCAGTGAGGAGAATGTTCCCCAGTTTGTGTTTGAAAACTCTGGCATGTCTATGACTTTACCAATCACTCTTAAATAAGAGAAGAGACAATTGTATAGTATAAGTCGCAAAGCAAAGTCTTAATTCAGTATTTTGAATGTCCAACACTGTGCAATAATCAAATCTCTGAATTTGATTTAACGTTAAATCTCCCCTCTCTCAGTTAAGGTCAGCTTCAGGGTCTTCCCCGCTGTCTTCCAGGGACTTGTGGATGACTTTCCATCTCCTTCTCTTCTTCTTGCTTAGCTTGCCAATCATGGATGCTGGTACTTCATGGGTTGAGTATGAAAAGGGAAGAGGGAAAGGGGGTTTCTGAACATTCTTACTTGGCTGGGCCTGTTGTAAGATAGTTTCATATGCTCTGGGCTTGGGTGTTATGAGAACTGACTCTTTCTCAGTGTAGGCACTTTCGTGAGTTTTCTTCCAGAGATTCTCATGCTGGCCCCTTCTGACTGACTACCACAAAACAGGCAGTCTCTCTCCTTTGACTAGTCAATTTTGACACCCACTCAGTTTCTCTTTCCAGTGGTCTCTGTGAGATCCCTCACTCTCTGCTCAAAGCCATCCTGAGCATGATCTAGGGCTTTAGATTCCTCGGGGGCAGGGGGTGTTAAGTTCTTGAAGGGGTATCCTTGAAGCCCTTCTCACTAGGCTTGGTATGAGAAAGTAGCACTCCCACTCCTCCTCTCTGGTATGGTTTGGACTCAAAGCAAAGAGCTCTCTTCAAAAATCTAGTCCTTAAAAAACCCCTCCCAACACTTTTTACACCCTCCAAACTGATGAGGAGTTTCAACAGAGAAAAAACTGGTTTTCTGGTTATTCCTTTGAAGTTTTCCATTCTTGTCTATCTCAGAACTCACCTCGGTAACTAGTATCTGTTGCATCTTTGCACCTCAGTCAAAACATGTAATTTATCTTGCTGTCACAATTGCAATATCATGTGGTAAGTACAGGAAGAGAAGTCTATGCACATGTCATTGGGAGAACACAGAAAAGGGGCTCAGCTGGAGGATGAGTGGTCTAGGAGATTCCTGGAGAAGGTGACACCTTATTTGACTCTTAATGGGTATGTTGGAGTTAGTGTTGTGATGTCTTTGGGGAGGACTCTTTTGAAGGGAATATTCAAGAAGACAAGCCTATACCAACAAATTACTTCTTTAGAGACACTGAAAAAACAAAATGGTTACAAAGTGTTAGTGGGTTCTTTAATTTCCTCATCTAGTCTCAAAATTTCCTGTAAATTCATGAACATAAGTACCTCTGTAAAATTAGAAACTCCCTACTATTATCGATTAATCTTGCGGGACTTTAAAAATTTCACTTATACTAAGCATAATAAGCTCTATTTTCTAAAGGAGAGCACGAGAATGGTCATTTATGGATTTAAAATACATCCTGATAAAAACTGACCTTGGGAGTCGAGAGGTATGAGTACTTTGAAATGATGATCTTATTTAAAAAGTAGTTCAAACAGGATTTAATGGACTGTGAAATTTAGTTTTAAATTAATACGTGGACCTAGTAAAAAGCTTTGCACTGACAAGGAATATGAAAGATCAACTGAAATATTATACTTATCTTAATAGTTTAAACATCTTGCTTATTAATATGTCAATTATTTTGACGGTTTTGGGGAGGGAGTGAAAGCAAGGAGCTATGTCTTTTAGCATCCTTACCATATCATAATAAATCATTTACCAAGTGCTCACACACATGTGGCCCATGATGGATCACCCAACCAAAACACATACATCATCTGGGCTTCGAGAAAATTTATGACTAAATGCTTTAAAGACACATTTATATGCCTAATACTAGACCTTTATTTGATCTATCAAGACCTTGAGGTCATTATCCAAAAAGGAAAGACAGTAGATATCTGGTTAATCAACTTTATTTTTAATTACTTATTGTGTACTGACCTTGTATCAAGACATAAGATATGAAGGAAGAACAGACAAGATTTTTAGCCCCCCAAAATTAAAATCAGCTGGAGACATACCACACAAGACAGCAAGTCTTAAGAGTATATACTAAGCAGCGTTTGAGTAGTGCAAGACAACTTAGTGCAGAGCAAACCCACACACAAGGACACCATCAGTGGCTGTGGCAGGAAGTGGAGGAGGAAGGTTGAGGAATACATCCTGGGAGGTGGGAAAAGCAGAGGACCTGTGTTCTAGTCCCCAGAAGACCAGTGGCTTATTGTGGATCTTGGCCAAATAAGTTCCACCTCTCTTGCCTTCAGTTTGCTCAACTCTAAAATAAAAGGCCATGGATTAGATGGTCACTAAGGTCTTCCAACTATCACAATCCAGGATTCTAAGGATAAATGCAGACAACTTGGGAAGTTGAGTATATTACTGGTAAGAGAAAGGACAAGCATAAAGCCACTGAGGTGGGAAAAAAGCTAGTTGTGCACAGGGCAAGGTGTGCTGTAAAGAGCAAGGGCTTTAAACAAGCCTATTAAACTACTGTAATGGTTTAGGGGGCAGTAAACCTGGAAATGGGTGAGACAGAGTTGGTGCTAGGCCTTAAAAGCCAGGCAAAGGATGATAACTAGGGATCAAAATGGAGAAAGAGATAATTATGTTTCCTGTGGTCAGAAGTCTAACTTATCTTCATGCTACCACCTCACTCCACATTCTCCATGTCTTTGTGGAACTTTATTGCAACCCCTTCCTCAAACCCACATACCAGAAAGTGTGTGGTTACAGAGAACCTCTCTTCAGATCTGCACAAGTAGCCCCCTTTTGTAAGCCAAGTAGCAAACAGCAGTTGCTGAACAGACAGTGGTAAATCCAATCAGTCTCAGCAGGCCTGGCACAGAGGGCAGATGTCTCTCCAAGAAGGTCATGGCAATGGGCCTCGCAGGCACATCCTAGGTTCAGAGAACATTTGGCATTAGTACAGGGCTTGTGCACTTTGTTCCAGAAAGTCTCTTTCCTGCAGCTCTCCAAACCCACTCTTGCCAATCTCTCAGCCATTGAACATAACCTTTCCTTTCCTTATAACATCCACTCCTTGTTCCCCACTGGGCCCTTGACTCATCCTTCCGGTCTCAGTTTCAACCTCACTTCCTCAGGGAGCAGCCTTTCCTGGGCCCCCAGAATAGGATGGCCCCCTCTTTTTATAATCTTCCACAGCATGCTTTCTTCATCCTACCTGTACTTTTTGGTTATCATCTGTATTTCCCCATCAGATGTTAAGCTCTGTAAAAACACTTGGTGTGCCCTTCTGCAATGGCTAAGGCAGAGTAGATACTCAATAAATATTTGCTGAGTGAATGCACCCATGGTCCACCCAGCCCATAATTCCATCTCTACCAGAAGCTCTAAGAGAATGACTTTGCACTTAAAAAGACAGAGGAATATGTTCAACATTTTTTACCTTTGTTATGTATGATGTTTTCACCCTGTGTTCTATGTATCCTTTCTTTCAGCCAGGAACACTTCCTGGGATTTTATTTAAAAAATGATAGGTATATTAAAAATGGAGCCCTCGTGGTGCAGTGGTTAAGAGCTCGGCTGCTAACCAGACGGTCAGCAGTTTCAATCCACCAGCCGCTCCTTGGAAACCCTATGGGGCGGTTCTACTCTAGCCTATAGGGTTACTATGAGTCAAAATTGACTCGACAGCAACGGGTTTGTTTTGTTTTTTATATTCAAAATGTGTTTTTAATTTAAACATGCTCATTTCACTCCACTCTTTTGCCTCCAGGCAGGATGCTTACATATCCTCCTTTCACTTCTTATCCCCTATTGAGAATCACCAGGTTAGAGATTTAGTCAACAGACATTTATTTAGTGAGTTCTTAATATGTCTAGAACTTTCTGACAAAAGTCGCCCCCCTCCCACCAAAAAAAAAAAATCTTAATTTTTCTTAATAATTGGCAGTGGATGTGCTGTCTATGAATTTATCAAAGTTCTTCTAACTCTCTCACTCCTGCCCTAAGCCATGGCACCTCCTTAAGCATTCATGGGTTGAGTCACTTAGGAAAAGGTATGTGAATATATACAAGTGTGTTCTTTTTGCTAATAATTGTTTTTAGGGGAAAGAGATTTAAATTCATAAAATAAAATGTATCCTACCTCAGACTCTGGTTCCGGCTGGTATATTTCATCCTCTGGAATCTTTCCCATGGCATGCAGGATCTGAAATAAAATATCATCTTGGCAAATAGCAAAAGTGACACCATCTTTCTCCTTATCTGCTCTTTAAATAAAGGACTAACTGGATGTCTTTTGGTGATATCCATCAAAATTACAAGGGTAGAAGCCAAAGCAGTTCACTTAACATTTAAAAGGTTCCCAAAAGGTCTTTCCTCTATGGCATAAGAAATTCCAGACATTAGCTGTAAATTTTAGGAGTTTTCAACACACCTTACTAGGGATGAGATCAGAGGAATTGTCAGGGAATATATAAATGAGTTCTGAGTCCTAATAGAAACATATTTGGTTCTATAATATTAGACCTAGGTTATCTCTTAACTGGAGTCCCTGGGTCGTACAAACAGTTAATGTGCTGGGCTGCTAACACAAAGGTTGGCAGGTCAAGTTCACCCAGAGGCTCCTTGGAAGAAAAGTCTGGCAATATACTTCTGAACAACCAGTCATTAAAAACCCTATGGAGCACAGTTTTCTACTCTGACTCACATGGGGTTGCCATGAATCAGAGTCAACTTGATGGCAACTGGTTTGATTTGTTTTTTGCTTTTTTTGCTCTAAATTATAGCCATGCTGATCTTTTGCACAATGGGATCTCTTTATCTTGGGTGACATGTTAGATATTTTAGTTATTACTTTGGAATTAGGGTGTTCACTTCACCTGAGACTACTGTTAAAAGGGTGTCTCATGGGTCTTCAGATGGAGGCTACTGGGGAGATGACCTCCAAGATCTCAGACATCTATCTTTGACCTGCCTGTCAGGCCCATGAGGTGCCTCCCCCACAACCTGTGACCCCGGACCTTACCTCTCGAGCTGCTCTCTCCCCGGCCTCCACAGCCCCCTCCATGTAACCACTCCAGTGTGTGGCAGTTTCAGTGCCTGCAAAGTAAATCCTGTCCACCGGCTGGCGGAGAACCCTTGGAACAAATCAAAGAGGTAAAAGTGGTAAGTTTTAGAGAGCCAGAGAAAAGTCTTCCCACAGATATCAGGGCCAGTTTGTTACCTCAGATTCTAAAGGGAGTACATTGGCAATTTTGGAATAATGGTGACTGGTTTCCTCCAGCTCTTGAATGATCCTTGTCACAGACAAAAACAGATTGAAAATCAATGCTTACTTCTGCCCCAAGAGCTTACAGGTAAAGGGACTGACATTAATGGAGGTAAACTATGCATTTGCTTGACATACATGAAGTGAAGGACTTTATGAATCTGGCCATGTACAGCTCCTTTTATGGCTCACTAGCTCTGGGCAAGGTGACATGTGCCCCCAGTTCCGCATCTGGTTATTCCATCAATGAGCTCTGCAAGTCGCTTCCTGTCACTCAGCTCTGGCTTCCTTATCTCTTAAAGGACACAGTTCAATGATTTCTAAGACCTTTTACATCAGTAACATTTAACAAAGCTGTGACTCTGACTATGGCTGCATAACTACCATTCATTGAGCACTTACCTTCTACGAGTGCTAAGAGTTTTACTGCATGAACTTACAACAGTTAACATTTATTGGGTGCCAAACACTCTTCTAAGTACTTTAACCCTCACAACAACCCTATGAGGTCGGTACTATTATTATCCCCACTTTTCAGATGAGAATATGGAGGTGCAGAAACTGTGGTGGACAAAGTGACGCACTGTCCAGATCCCCTGTCAAAAACGAAGAAACTGCCCAGTTGCTGACAGTGTGGCCAGAAGATGGCCTTCTGATGTCAGCCCTCTTTGGAGATTGCCTCCACTGAAGAAAACCGCCTCACCCAAGTTCATGCCTCCTTCCAGCATTAGTCGCATTCAGTGACTGATCATCATGGGTGTATAAAGGCCTGACCCCCTCGCCCCAACTCGGGACAACTCCAAAGGGCCATCTCAGCGCCAGAGCTCCCTGTAGGATCAGCTGAGACCTCCATTGGAACTGCACTGTGGTACAGTTTCTCCCTCTGTCCACTCTTCCTTCCTTCCTCTCCCTTCCATAGGTGTTGATCCCAAGGGCACAACCCAATAAATAGCCTGCCTGCTAGCCTTTGTTTCAGAGTCTGCTTCCTGGGGAAACTAATCGACAACAAAGACAAAGTAATTTGCTCTGTGTCACAGCTAGTAAGTGGCAAAGCTGGTATCCGAACCCAGACAATCTAGCTCCAGAGCCTACAGTCTTCACCATCTTGCTATACTTCCTCTCTATAGTGCATTATTTCTTCAATCCTTTTAAGAACTCTATAATGTATCTACTCTTATTATTGTCCCATTTTACACATGAGGAACCTGAGGCTCAGAGAAATGTGCAGTGACTTGCCAAGAGCTGCATTGCTAGAAAACAGCAGAGCCAGGATTTGAACTTATTCTACCAGATGTCAAAGCCTTTGTTGTTGTCCTGTGTGCTTTGTCTGGTGTATCATCATCCGTCAACACAGAGGCCCATATGCTACACAAAGGGACATGGGTGTCAGAGCACTTGGCAGTTTGTCATTATCCTGAGAATAATACCTCAAGGGAAGTGCTGTCAACCTGTCATTATTTATCCTATTCCAGGTTTCCATTATTTCTGGTAAGTGATACCCAGAGTAAACACTCATACTTCATCTTAGTCAACACTGTATACCACTGGGCCTTTTATCAGAAAACCAAATGGGCTGGCTTGAGTTGGTGAGTTTTCCTTCATTTGCCCTTACTGCAGCCATTAAAAAGAAAAGAGGGAGAAAATAGAAGAGATAATATTATAGAATACTAGGATACTGACAATAATACACAGAATAATCTGGAATTATCCATAGCCAGCATGGACTGGACAGCAAAGGGTATTTAGGAAAAAGACTCTTTGCAAGAGAAGGTGGATTTGCTTTCTCATGTTCATTAAACAATGCTGCTTTTCATCACATGTTCACTTTTTTTTTTTTCTAACAGTGGAAACTAGTTCAAAACTGAAAACTTCTGAGAAGCCTGGCCAAACCCTAGAATTAAATACTGGAAGACAGAACAAAGACTCATATTCTCGTTAACAAACTGATGATTTATTGTCCATTGTATGCCATCTTGTACTTTCTCATACACCAGCTAAGGGAAGTGAGGTTCATAAGGGAGAAGTGACCTGCCAGGGATGACAAAGTTGGTTATTGGCAAAATCAGGACTAGAACACACGTCCCATCACTCCAGTCTAAAACTCATTTGGCTTTTATAATGCTGTATCCATGTTGCCACTTATATGGTATGATTTGAGGAAGTTCTACTGAGTTCTGAACTCAGTATATAGATACTTCTGACAATTTTAATGAATTCTCTGGTTATCTAAATTCCCATCTGTTATTTATTGAATTGTGTCTCCCTGAAATGTGTATTGAAATCCTAACCCTTATACCTATAGATATAGGAGCACTGGCGGTGCAGTGGTTAAGAGCTACGGCTGCTAACCAAAAGGTCAGCAGTTCCAGTTCACCAGCTACTCCTTGGAAACCCTATAGGGTAGTTCTACTCTGTCCTGTAGGGTCACTATGAGACGGAATCGCCTCGATGGCAATGGGTTGTTATACCTACAGATATAACATATGTAATGTGATCCCTTTCTGTCTATAGCGCCATGTTTGTAATATAATCCTTTTCCATAATGCAATCTAATGTTATGTGAATGAGGCCATATCAATGTAGGATGTGTCCTGAACGTAATCACTTCCAAATTACGAAAAGAGCAGCTTAGACAAAGAGACAAGAGAGTACAAATGGGGAGAGACAGACACCACGTGAAGATCACCAAGGACTGAGGAATGCTGGAATAGACAAGGATCTTCCCGCAGAGCTGACAGAGAGAGAGCCTTCCTCTACAGCCAGTATTGGACTTCTAGCCTCTTGAACTGAGAGAAAATAAAACTCCTCTTTAAAGCCACCCACTTGTGGTATTTCTGTTACAGCAGCACTAGAAACCTAAGACACCATCCTTATGCTACAACCTTCTTTGGTTGTATTGATTGGGATTGTCCTTCCAGAGGAATTCAGAGTAAAAGGCACCACCATATTGCCGCATCTTAATGACTTAATTCATGAGAATCAGAAGTACAAACTAAATTGGGATTTTTTTTCTTTTCATTTAGTATTTATAAGAAACAATGAAGAAGAGCTACTTGAACCTATTTAGAGTTTGAATTCAGGCTCAATGAAGTCCAGTTACAGCTTAGCACACTTTTACTCTACCTTCCATATTGAGTCATGATCCCAGGGGGGAAGTAGGTCGTGTAGCAGCCCCCGGAGTACTGCTCCTCACACCAGTTCTTCTCTTCATAGTGCACAGGCTGCAAGGCAGAGTGACAAAAGCTTGATGCAGGCTCAGAGGAAGCTAACTCATCTCTCACTGGAGAATCAATACATTTCTGAAATACCAAACCCACTGCCGTCGAGTCTATTCCGACTCATAGCGACCCTATAGGACAGAGTAGAACTGCCCAGGAAACCCCATAGGGTTTCCAAGGCTGTAAACTTTATGGAAGCAGACTGCCACATCTTTCTCTCACGGAGTGGCTGGTGGGTTCGAACCACCAATCTTTAGATTAGCAGCCGTGCACTTAACCACTGCACCACCAGGGCTTTTCCCGTTTCTGAAATAGAGCCTCATTATACTGGTGTTTTTAAAGATAGGTCTTTAGACAGGTCAACGTCCTTGGTAATAACTTCCTAAGAAATTCTGACTTTAGAAATTTTTCTCACTTGGTTCACTCATGTCTTAGGTACTGCTCATAAACTGCAATTGTCTATTTCCATTTTAAAATCAATTTTACTTGTTAAGAAGTTTTTAGTGTCTACTGGTTTGAAGAAAAATTTTGAGAAGAATTTATGCTTACTGCAGTGGTGGAATCAGGAAAAAGCAGAAAAATATTTCCATCAAGGAAAAAAGATGATCAGATTTATGTTTTTGGTGGAAGTAAGCTTTCTTAAGGGAAGCATAGACAGACAAATATATGTTTGTGGGATGTAGGTATTTCTGTTGGTGGTGTACTTGGACACAACTATTGGTTTAAAAAATACATTTTTGCTATGAATAGAAAAAAAAATTAGCTGAGATTTTGCAAAGCTAAAACTCTTTATTAAAATAACTAAACATAAGCTTTATCATTATTTTGAAAAGATAAAATCAAGTTTTAAGGGAAAAATATTTGCTTAAAAATAGGTTTTGAAGAAAATGTTTTGTTCAAAAAAATTTCAATCTCATACCTGAACTTGGATAGTCATTTGCAACACACCTTATCTGCAAGGTAATGAGGCCCTGCCTAAGAGGTATAGGTAGCTCCAGGCCTCTTGTGGTGTTACCACACATCACACCCTAGCTTTCTTTCCTCTGCGCCTGAGGGCTACAACCACCTCGTGAGCATCTTTCTCTGGCTGTTGCCAACCAATCGGAAGAAAGATGTGACTTTGTCTTTCACTTTTCTTTGCTCACGGGAATTGCTTCCCTTGGCTGCTAACCAAAAGGTTGGCAGTTCGAATCCACCAGCCACTTCTTGCAAACCCTATGGGACAGTTCTACTCTGTTCTATAGGGTCGTTATGAGTCGGAATCGAATCGATGGCAGTGAGTTTGTTTTTGTTGTTGTTGTTTTGTTTTGTTTATTTTTAATGCAGTAGATATCAACACATAGTAAAGCAAGGCTCTGTTCTGTGCCAAGAACACAGAAGGACAGGACTAGTTCATTTTTATCATTAGAAATTAATCATACACATTCTTCTTGGGAAAAGAGATTCTCCTAAATGAAAAATGATCAATTTCTTTGGAAATCTGAGAATAATTGATTTCCTCTCCACCTGAGATTCCCCCAACAATCATCCCACAGGCTGACTGAGGAACCTTAATTACAAAATGCCTGAGAGGGTCTCAGAACTAAACTTCAAAAAAAGCTTGACTATCTACCAGGGCTAAATATCTTGAACAACATTTTAAACAGATAAATTAATAATTTTTAACAGAGACTTTTAAGTGATTTCTTTTTTTTTTTTTTAAGCGTGCATATATTGTGGGGTTTGCTACTTCCCTCACACTACCCTGGAATAAAAAGCTCAGAGATTATGCCTATATTTAAACTTGATCAATGGTATGTGAAAGCAAAAAAGGAAACAAAATGCATCCTCATTAATGTTACATTTCTCTCCAAACTCATCAATTGTTTTTGTTCATTTGCTGAGTAAGAACTTCAAAACAGCTCAAGAGCACGCTTCACCTATATTAAGTACAGAACATTTGCAGTGGAGAAAAAAAAAATCTTGCTTGAAAAGAATGAACAAAAATGATAAATTCAAAAGCCACAACTTGACCTGGAGGAAGTCAGCCACTCCAAAGCTCCTCAAGGTAAGTGTTAGAGTAATAGGACTAATCCATGTAGCTGCTCAACTAGATCATGACGTGTACTGCAGAGACTTGGGTTTCAGAGGTTTAATGAGTTAAACGTTTTTGCTTCCCTCATTAGATTTTTCTCACACTTTAACTGCTCATTTGTATACCGGCCTCCATTGTCTTCAGATGCTTCATGGATAACTGGTTTTAATCATCACATTCAAAAGGTGATACGATCCATGTCAAAACATTAAAAGCCCAGCAGTCTGGTGAATGGAAACAGAACACTAATTCATTACTTTAAACATTGATAAAGGAGTGGTTTTTGCTACTGGTTATGAGTCCTCTGGTAGACTACTTTCAAAGGCATCTAGGAAACTCAGCCAACAGGGCTCATCCTGAGTCAATCAGTATGTTTTCCCTCTCCCTAATCTTCAAGCATAAAACAAAGCAAGAAAAAGGGGAATACAGAGGAGGGGGTCATCTCAGTTTATTTTTACCAGCAAGGCAGTGGGAGGTGGGGTAGGTCTTAGGGGCTGCTTTTATGTTAATGTATGTACATCAATGAGACTCTGGTCTTTGTACAACACCAACAGAGAAAAGAAAAGCTCTTTCTCATCACTGTCCTGGCTGCCAGGATCTAGGCTCTCGCTACATGTAGCAGACCAGTTAACAAGATGCTGTCAAGTCTCGACTCTGACTCATGACAACCCCATGTGTGTCAGAGTAGAACTGAGTTCCACAGTGTCATGGATTGAATTGTGTCCCCCAAAAAGGTCTGTTGACTTGGCTGGGTCATGATTTCCAGTATTGTATAATTGCGTACCATTTTGTAATCTGATATGATTTCCTTATGTGTTGTAAATTCAGTAACTATGATCTAATAAGATGGATTAGTGGTAGTTATACTGATGACGTTTACAAGATTAGATACTGTCTTAAGCCAATCTCTTTTGAGATATAAAAGAGAGAAGCAAGCAGAGACACATGGGAACCTCATACCCCCAAGAAAGCAGTGTTGGGAGCAGAGCATGTCCTTTGGACCTGAGGTTCCTGCGCAGAGAAGCTCCCAGACCAAGGGAAAACTGATGCATCACAAGGACCTTCCTCCAGAGCTGACAGAGAGAAAGCCTTCCCTTGGAGCTGATGCCTTGAACTGGGACTTACAGCCTACTAGACTGTAAGAGAATAAATTTCTCTTTGTTAAAGCCATCCACTTGTGGTAATTCTGTTACAGCAGCACTAGATGACTCAGACAATAGGGTTTTCAATGGCAGACTTTTGGGAAGTAGACAGCCAGGGCTTTCTTCTGAGGTGCCTTTGAGTGGACTTGAATCTCAAACCTTTTGGTTAGCAGCCGAGCACGTTAACTGTTTGCACCACCGAGGGACTCTACAGATAGCAGAAGCTCCCTCTTTTACCCCATGACAAAGCACAGTAGCCCAATGCTTTGCTCTAAGAAGAGCTCCAAATTCCAGAACAATTCCAGCACCACCTAAGTCATGGTAGTGTTGCAAGATTCCTGACCCACCGCTAGCACACCTAAGGCCCACACTCTCTGGGACTACTTAAAAATTGACCAGCCCTGTGAAGGCCCCTTTGCAAATATGTCAAGGGAAAACATGGGCTCTAGGGCCCTGTTTGCATAGGTGTAAACAGTTAAGGCATTCTGTTGCTAACTGAAAGGTTGGAGGTTCGAGTATACCCTTAAATGCCTCGTAAGAAAAGCCTGGCCATCTACTTCCGAAAAATCAGTCACTGAAAACCCTACGCAGCACAGTTTTGCTCTGACATGCATGAGGTTACCATAAGTTGGAGTCAATTCAACAGCAACTGGTTTTAATTATCCCTGCCAGACCTTTGAGGGCAAAGCAAGATCTCTCTACCTTAGGAAAGGGTAGAGAATCAGCCTTACCTGCAGAGCCTCTTGAGATCCCAGAACTTTTGCATAGAGCTCACAAAGTTTCTTCAACCTATTAAAAAAAAGACAAAAGTGAGTCACCTATCCCCTCATACTGAATGACTCTGTGAGCCATTGCTTCCACTTTGACATTTCATTTTAATTTTTAAAAACAAGGCACTTTGTTCTATTTCAAACATATTAAATCTATGTGGTTTAAAATATTATTAAATAAAATGCGGTGTTGTTTTGCCTGAGTCACTGGGGGCACAGAGCAATTAGTTCATTCATTCAAGACAGCTCATTGTGTTCCTCTGAAGTGTCAGTCAACTTGCTAAGCAGTGGAGATTCTGGGAGGATCAAGACATGGTCCATACCCACCCTTCTTCCTCTCCTCAGACCACTACAAGACAATGGATACAGTGGAAAGAATAATAATAAAAAAAAAACCAAACCCGTTGCCATGGAGTCGATTCCGCCTCATAGTGACCCTATCTATAGGACAGAGTAGAACCGCCCCATAGAGTTTCCAAGGAGCGCCTCGTGGATTCGAACTGCAGACCTTTTGGTTAGCAGCCATAGCTCTTAACCACTATGCCACCAAAGAGTAGGGGGCAGGAAAAGCTTGGAATTCTGCTTCCACCTCTTAAATACTGTGAGACCTTAAGCAGGTTACTTAAGCTCTCTGAGCTTTCATTTTATCTACAATCTTCCATAAATTTTGCATTAATAACTTAAAACAGTGTGGTCCCCACCAGTTGCATCAGCTTCACCCAGACACTCGTTAGCAATGCAAATTCTAGAGCCCCACCCTAGACCTACTGAATCAGAAACAGGGGAGTGGCAGCAATTTGTGTTTTCACAAACCTTCCAGGTGATTCTCAAGTTTGGGAACTACTGATATAAAGTATATAAAGTGCCTATCCCAATAACTGGTACATACTAAAGGCTCAATAAATTGTAGCTCTTAAGAAATTTATTCCAATGTGGGAATGGGAAGTAAGCCAATAGTTATAATTAGTCATTTAAGGTATTACAGGTACTATCATAGAGATTAAAGAGCTCTGGTGGCGAAGTGGTTAAGCACTCCGCTGCTAATGGAAAGGTCAGCAGTTTGAACCCACCAGCCACTCCATGGAAGACAGATGTGGCAGTCTGCTTCTGTAAAGATTTATAGCCTTGGAAACCCTATGAGGCAGTTCTACTCTGTCCTATAGGCCACTGTGTGTTGGAATCCACTTGATGGCAATGGGTTATTATAGAGATTATAGCTACTTCAAGTTTGATTTTTTACAGAATATTGATGCTAAAAGGGATATTAAGATTATCTGGAGTTATGCCAATGCTTTTCAGAAGTATTACTATTATTTTAAATTCAGGAGCTCTTTCTACAAACAAGGATGTCTGAAAATGCTTAATCTCCTCCCCATCCCCCCTTTTCTTCATCCCTTCCCTCCTCCCTTTCTTCCTTCATTCCTACCTTCCTTCCTCCCTCCCTTCCTCCTTCATTCTATCCTTCCTCCCTCCCCTCTCCCTCTCTTTCCTCCTTTCTCCCTATCCTTCCTTCTTTCTCCCTTTCCTCCTTCCTCCCTTTCTTCCTTTCCTCCCTCTCTCTCTCCCTCCATCCCTCTTTCTTTCTTTCTTTCTTTATCTTCCTCTCTCCCTGTCTCCTTCCCCCTTTTCTTTCTTTATAATTTGTTTTTACATTAATGCAATAGTTTGTCACAAGCAGAAGAGTGGAAAAAAGAGCAAAGAAATAGAATTAAATCAAGATATAGAACCAAATACATAAAGGAATTTAGAATTCATAAAGATGAGCATTCTAAATCAGTGAGGAAAGGACAGATTATTTAATAAATGGCACTGGGACAAATGGCTCCACATAAAATAAATAAAGTTGGACTCTGGCATTACTTCTTACACCAAAATATATTTCAGAAAGATCAAAGATTTATACATAATAGATGGAACAATGAAAGTAATAGGGAAATGGATTTTTTTTATAATCTTACAATAAGGAAGATCTTTCTAAGCATGATAGATCATTGAGAAGCAATGACGAAAAAATTAACAAATTTGACTACATAAAAGATAAAATTTTATTGTAGTAAAAAATGAATAAGATATAAACATGATCAAAAGACAAATCCAGAAAAGATCTGCAACACATATAACCAAGAACTAAGTTTCTTGACATAAAAAATTTTTACAAATCCATTCTTAAAATGACAAATCCACTCCCCTTTATTTATTCTCATCCTTCGAGAAATATATTTTGCAGATAAGTCTTTCTGGAAGAAAGATCAGACTGTCACATTGAGAGGAACTGTTGCCCCAAGGTGCCCTGTGAGGTGAGGGTTTTTCATATTGAAATGGCAACCTGATTAGAGAGCAGAGGTGGCCTCTGAAAGTCTCCTTGAGAGGAGGGCACTGCAGCCAGAGTAGACTTTTCCTACTGTGCTGCTGTGACCTGAGTTAAAACATCTGAGAGCCTGAATGAGCTAAAGACACCTTCAAGGTGACTCTGTCCTCAGCAGTAGTAACCTACTAGTTATAATCCTTACTCTTGGTACCTGTGATGGTTAATTCTGTGTATCAATTTAGCTAAGCTATGTTGCCCAGTTGTTGGTCAAACACTAGTCTAGATGATACTATGAAGGTATTTACATGTGATTTACACTTACAACTTTACAATCAGTTGATTTTAAGTAAAGCAGGTTAAACTCCATAATGTGGGTGGGCCTCATCCAATGAGGTGAAGCTTAATTTAGGAGTAAAAACTGAAGCTTCCCAAGGAAGGAAGGAATTCTGCCTCAAGATTGCAACATAGAAATCATGCCAAGTTTCCAGACTACTAGCATACCCTACACATTTGAACTCAGGACTGCAACATCATCTCATAACTGAATTTCCAGCCTGTTGGCCTGCTCTACAGATTTTGGACTTGGCCAGACCTTACAATCGTGTAAGTCAATTCCTTAAAATAAATCTGAATCTCTCTCTCTCTCTCCCTCCCTCCCTCTCCCTCTCTCTCTCTTTATGTGTGTTTGTGTGTGTGTGTGTGTGTGTGTGTGTGTGTGTGATATTGGTTCTGTTTCTTTGGAGAATTTAACAGATACAGAACCTCTATGTGATAGAGACAATGACTATGCTCTTAGCTCTTCATATCAAGATGCAGAGGCACTGTGCCTGCAAATGATTTACCCAGGTGCATGTACCCCTGACCTAAGCGGCTACTTTAACACCTCCTTGTTTGAAGGAGAGAGCAGTGATGCTCACGGTTACATAATAAGCAGTGCCTAACCTCCATCTGGGGCCCTGGTAGCACAGTGGTTAAGAGTTTGGCTTAAGAGTTCGCTGCTAACCAGAAGGTTGGCAGTTTGAATCCACTAGGCACTCCTTGGAAACCCTGTAGGGCAGTTCTACTCTGTCCTATAGGGTTAGAATTGAGTCGAAGGGAATGAGTTTGGTTTTGGTTTTAACCTCCATCCAAATGGCCTTTGACGGAGCATATTTTGCAGGTAAGGGTTGAAAATGACCATTATTCATTTATTCATTAATAAAAAGTAACTGAGTACATATTATGTTCCAGGCACTGTTCCAAGCATTGGAGATCCAAAAACGAACCAACAAGACAAAACTTCCTACATTCATGCATCTTATATTCTAGTGGGGACATTTTTAAGTAAGTTGATCAGTCAGACCCTCCATAGTGTTGACCAAGCACAGAGATGGCAATGGTCACAGAAGAGCATGCTAAAAAGAGGTGGAAAGAATGTGCTATAATGTAATTTAGGGGGCCCTTAATTGGTAAATCTGTTATCATCGTAGTGTGGGAATAAATTATTGGCAGAGGTAAATATTAATTGCTGGAAGAAATTGCCACCTCCAGGGAAATTAGTCCCTCTCTACCTATGATCAGTAACAGTTATGCATTACTCATGCAGTATGTACTGCAGACTGTACTGCAATGCAGTAATTTTTATACCTGGTTATTTCCTCTCCAAGTAAAATTTCAAACCCTGGGTTATATCCATTTTTGTATTTTGTATTCTCCATAGATCCTAGCATGATGTCTTCTGTACAAAAAAAAAAAAACTAAATATATATTAATTTGAATACTTGGTTCTTAAGTTATCAGCACTGCGCCTTTATACAATACCCTGAAAATTAACATAACAGATATGAAGCATTAGCAATACACATCTTATTAGGCAGTCTATAAATTTAAGAGTTATGTAAAAACAAAAGGCTGACAGATAGTGGTACTGGTACAATGGACACATAGACCGATGGAACAGAACTAAGAACCCAGAACTAAATCCATCCAGCTATGGATAGCTGATCTTCGACAAAGGGTCAAAGTCCATTCAATGGGGAAGAGATAGTCTCTTTAACAAATAGTACTGGCAAAACTGGATCTCCATTTGCAGAAAAATGAAACAGGATCCACACCTCACACCATATGCAAAAACTAACTCAAAATGGATCAAGGACCTAAATGTTAAACCTAAAACTATAAAGTTCCTGGAAGATAACATAGGGACAAAGCTAGGAGTCCTAATTTATGGCATAAATACACTCTCAGACATAACTAAAAATGCACAAACAACAGAAGATAAACTAGATAACTGGGACCTCCTAAAAATTAAATACTTATGCTCATCAAAAGACTTTACCAAAAGAGTAGAAAGAGAACCTATAGACTGGGAAAAAAATTGGCTACAACATATCTGACAAAGGTCTAATCTCTAAAATATATGGAAAACTTCAACACCTCAACAACAAAAAGACAAACAATCCAATCAAAAAAGGGCAAAGGACATGAACAGACATTTCACCAAAGAAGACATTCAGGTGGCTAACAAACACATGAAGAGATGCTTGTTATCATCAGCCATTTAAAAAAAAAAAAACCATTGTCAAGTAGATTCCGACTCTAACGGACCCTGTAGGACAGAGTAGAACTGCCCCATAGGGTTTCCAAGGCTGTAAATCTTTACGGAAGCAGACTGCCACATCTTTCTCCCATGGAGCAGCTGGTGGGTTCAAACCACCAACCTTTAAGTTGGCAGCCGAGCACTTAACCATTGTGCCACCAGAGCTCCTCCATTAGCTATTAGAGAGATGCAAATCAAAACTACAATGAAATATCATTTCACACCTGCAAAAATGGCACTGATCAAAAATCAGAAAACAACAAATACTGGCGAGGTTGTGCAGAGGTTGGAACTCTCATACACTGCTGGTGGGATTGTAAAATGCCACAACCACTATGGAAAACGGTATGGCGCTTCCTTAGAAAGCTAGAAATAGAAATACCATATGATCCAGAAATCCTACTCCTAGATATATATCCTAGAGAAATAAGAGTCATCACAAGAATAGACGTATGCACACCCATGTTCATTGCAGCATTATTCACAATAGCAAAAAGATGGAAATAACCTAAGTGTCTATCAATGGATGAATGGATAAACAAAATGTGGTACATACATAAAATGGAATACTATGCAATGATAAAGAATAATGATAAGTCCGTGAAACATCTTATAATATGGATAAATCTGGAAGACATTATGCTGAGTGAAATAAGTCAATCAAAAAAGGACAAATATATGATATCACTTTTATAAAAAGTCAAGACAGCAACGTTCTTTGACGGTCAATGTTCTTTGATGGTTACCAGGGATGAGAGGGGGAAGGAGGAAGAAGTAGTAGACACGTGTTAATAATGGTGAAGAGAAAGGCAATACACAATATGGAGGAAGTTAGCAGAATGTGATCAAGGTAAATGAAGACACCAAGAGGGATGCAAGAATAAGGACAACTATGGTAAATGCTATAACATATACAGTTCTGCAACAACAGTAATAACAACTAAATATGTGTGAGTGGTTACATAGGTAGACACATATGGATATAGGTGTGGGAGGGCATATGGGAGTACATGCATGTGCATATATAGGTATAGTCGTGGGTATTTGTATATACATATTTGTATGTGCTGCATATACATTCATACATACATAGAGCTATAGGGTGCACAGTTTTGAAAACTTCCTAGACATATCCAAACACCTCATGGGACTGAATTACTGGGTTTGAAGGCTCAGGATAGTCTTGGGGGACAACTAAGTCAATTGGTATAACATAGTTCATAAAGATAACGTTCTACATCCTAGTTTGGTGAGTAGTGTCTGGGGTCTTAAAAGCTTGCAAGCAGCCATCTAAGATACAACTATTGGTCTCCTCCCTCTGGAGCAAAGGTGAGTGAAGGAAACCAAAGACTCAAGGAAGGAATTAGTCCACAGGACTAATGGCTCATAGGAACCACAGCCTCGTCTAGCCTGAGAACAGAACTAAATGGTGCCCGACTACCACCCTCTGACCAGGGACACAACAGAAGGTCTCAGTTAGAATGGGAGAAAGATGTAGAACAAAACTCAAGTTTATAAAAAACACCAGACTCAGTGGACTGATAGAGACTGGAGGAACCCCCGAGACAATTGCCCTAAGAAACCCTTTTAACCTGGAACTAAAATCACTCCAGAGGTCACCTTTCAGCCAAATAATAGACTGGCCTATAAAATAAACAATAACACCCGTGAGGAATGTGCTCCTTAGAACAATCAACTATAGGAGACCAAACGGGAAACATCTGCCCAAAAGCAAAGATGAGAAGGCAAGGAGGGGTAGGGAAACTGGATGGATGGAAACTAGGGAGGCAGGGTGGAAATGGGGAGAGTGCTGATACATTGCAGGGACAGCAACCAATGTCAAGGAACAGTTTGTGTACAAATTGTTGCATGGGAAACTAATTTGCTGTGTAAACTTTCACCTAAAACACGATAAAATGTTCAGAAAAAAAAAAAGGCTGATAGGTAGGCAGAAAGGTAAGAAGAGAGGGAGGGAGAGAAGGAAAGAATGAAGAAATGAAGGAAAGAAGATGAACTTCTTTTCTTACCTTTCTTCTTTGGTAAGACGTGCCAGTTTTCTGGCTTTGTTGGAAAGGATAAATCTAAAACATGCAAACAAGAAAAATGGGGAAAATTAATGGTTGTTTTCATTCTGGTCTCATATCGATAGCTACACATATGTCCAGTGTACAGCATCAAAAGCCCAAAGAAACAAATTATACACCAGTTTATTTTATGTTCAAAGTTTTACTATTTACATGTTACTCACATTCCTGACACTGAAGGGCACCTTCTAGCTTCAGGGATTTAAGGAGCTAAAATAGATGAATGGTCATAATTTCTGCCTAGAGTACTGCTGTGACTGGCTCTCCATCCCCATTGTGGCTGACGGCAGATGGGAATGAGTTAGGTCTCATATGCTCACTTAAAGGCTGTGTCTGAGCCCTTCCATTTTCTCTCAGCCTTTGCTCTTTGGTTCTGTCTCCACTATGGTATCTCTTTAGCACCCAGCCTTCTGGAATTTATCTACCATTTCTAGTCCAATAATTGCCTTCAGCTTCACAACTGGCTTTGATCTTTCTGTTCTGACCCTTAGTTCTCTCTGAGATAAGCTCATACATACCCCATGGCAGAGCTCAATTTTGGCTGCTCCAGGTGACCACCTCTCTGGGCCAAGTTCTAGCCCCCAAGCCATCCCCCATCAGCGTTGGTCTTCACTACCAGGCAGAGGATGGTGCTGGCCTAGACTCCTCTCTAGGAAGACTTGGACAATCTCAGCAGCTCACAAACTTAAATACAGTTGATGTCTACACAGCATCCACAAGAAGTCCTCTTAGTAAAAAGGTCTTTAGATAATGCTTTCACAAAATAGAGCTCTACCCCCAACATTAAATATGAAGCAGGAAATTAAATGTATTAGATATTAAAATGTTACTGGTATTCTACTTCCATTTTAGGTATTTATTCATTGAAGGCATTAAAAAAAGCAGTAAGAATTTTTCTATTGCTGGATTTGGAGAATAGTACTGTTGGGTAGAAAATTCATTTAACAAGGTTAGGGGGCACATTTATTATTAGTATAGGATTGCCTTGTCAACACCAAATGATATCCACACCACCATAACTGTGCCTTACCCCATTATGGCAGCATAGTTGCCATCAGGATTGGTATCATCCAATGTGTAGGCAATTGGAGCTTCCTCTCCTTCAATAATCATGGTTCCACAGTAATCTTGGAGAACACCAAAATTGAAGAAGATAGTCACCATCCCATCAAAGTACCCACAGCAAAGTACCATACACATTTTCCAATTTGAGAATGCCTAAGGCCAAGTATAGGATATTATACTCTAAATAAATGAAGGCAAACCAAACTGATGTCAAAAGGGTAGCTAAGTAGCCAACGTTCTGTGAAAAGAAATCAACCTTTACACCCCCTTCCACAAAGAACAAAGCAGTGTGTTATTATAAATTAATCCAGTCCATCTTTTAACAAAACCTTGTTTTCCTTGCTTTCCCTATTTCCTCTTTCACAAGAAATTAGAATAAACCTAAAGGAGTGTAAAGGAAATAATAGTCCATTATTGTAAAATAGAAAGACCTGAAATCTAGCATTTTATGAAGAGCCACTTTATTTTTCACCAGTTCTTGATTGTCTGGAGACAGGGCAAGGAAGATAAGGATAACTAAAATCCAGAGTCCCAACCCTCATTTCTAACGTGATCTCTGCTGAGTGGGTGGTCTGCCTTTACAATTCCCATCCCAGCTGCCTAACCTGAGGCCCTGGGCTCAGAGCATTCTCTGATAAGGAGGCTGGGAATTGGATCTCTCTCCCAGTCCTTTGTCTTTGTCAGAGAAGCCCTCCTCCCTGTTTTGAACCCACAGTAACATTCTCTGTCTCTATGACTACTTAATTGTACTAAAGTAATTAATCTTGTAGCTAGTGGGAAAAAAATGTTCTTTCTGGTCATGCACCCATGGTTACAGGACGGCCATGCTATTTGAATTTGAACAAAGCTTGGCAACAGAATGGTCAGGCCAGGTGCGGCTAAATGACGGCACCATCCTCTTACCCTTTTTCCCTGTTCTCATGCACTCTGAGATTTAAAACTCCTAGACCCCTTCGCCTCACTGTCTTTCACCTACATAGTAAACTTGGATCCTTTTGTGTGCAGAAGAGATTTCCTGTGTCAACTCACCCCTGGGACAGGGGTCTGAAGGAGGCTGACCCCACAGTGAATCTTACCCCATTCATCTACATTCTAACTGCTATGTAAGTAAATAAAAGCTTGTGAGCTAGCCACCGGGTAATGTTAATTAATTACTGAGAACTACAGCTCTCTACAAGCCCATTTTTCATCCTGGCTCACCACAATCTCCAAAGACTCCTTTCCTCCTCAAGAATAACTTGGGCAACAATTTCAGTTCATCCCGAAAAAAGTGCTTCTTTCACTTCCCTCCTGAACATAAGAATGTGATTTCAACAAAAGAATATGACAGGGCAGTGGTGAAAGGTAAGGCCAAAATTGGAAATGTTATAATAATACCCTACTACTGTGGACTACTCCTCCTGCTCCATCCCTTAATTACATACAAATTGAGGTTGTTTGAACAAAATTATGGTAGAAGATTCTGAAACAAATGTTATATAGAAAAGCCAATAAGAGTGTTTCAAAATGAGGAAGAAAGAACAAAGGAAGAACTTTGGAGGGTGTGCACTTCCCCAACGTGTGTGTGCACGTGTGTGATCAGACTCACCTGTAGGTCTTTTTCAATTGCACTTGCTACCCTCTCTACTGCGCACCCATGAGAATCAATGTCAAAGTCACCCACTGTATTGATATGAGCTTTTATCCCCCTCAGGTGTGCTGGAGCAGGAAAAAAGTTGAGAAAAACTGAAGTCTGGGAAAAATAATGTTTAAAGTCCAAGAACTCAAGAAAATTGAAAACTTCAGGAGAAAGAGCTAAGGAAGTATCCAGCCTAAGAAGGTAAGAAAGAGAGGAGACAAACAGGACAGGATCTGGTAAGATAAGAGGGCAAGTGTACACGTTTGTGTAGGTATCAGCTGGACTGGACAGAGAGCTAGTGTAGGAAGCCAGGCTGGCTATGGTAGAGAGCTGTTTTCTGGCTAGAGGGGCTCCTTGGACACTTCCTTGCCAGGGCAAAGCTGGTCTCTGAGCCCTGCAGATGCACTTGGCTGAAGTGAAGGATCAAGGGGCTGAGAGAAAAGTCATTTTCATACCAGGACAAACCATCAGCTACTAGTGGTATTTCTATCACTTGTAGGTGGAAACCTCCTGGGCCCTGCCATGCATACAGAACTTCCAGTCAGCTTTGTAGGACCTCCCTTTTAAAAAGGAAGGAAAAGTCAGGGACATCCAGACATTTAAGGAAGTCCTTGAATAAGAAAAGCAAAGGCAAAAGCAGAAACAAATAAACAAAAACAAAAACAAAAAAAAGGCAATTCTGAGGAAAAAAAGACAGGCAGCAGAAGAAATTTTCCAAAAAGAGGCAAGTAAAATCCTCTGAGAGGAAGGAGAAGAAATTGTAGCTATAGGAGGCTATGAAGAGAAATACTGAGAAATTACTAGAAATACAATAATACAATAGAAGCTTTTTTAGTGTGAGGGTGTGGAAGGAGGAGTGTCTGACAACATGATAATAACATTCATTTGGAAGATTAACTGAAGAAGTGCCATCAAGGACAATATTAAAGGAAAACAATAATATCGAAACATAAAGCTACAGTCATACGAAAAGATAATATAGGTCTGTGCTCTCCAAAGCGTACATATCTAGATTGCACATTTAGATAGTGGAAGGATATACTAGAATTTTTTTTTTACTTTCAGTTTTTTTAAAAAAGTCTACTCTGTAATGTTTTATAACGAAAACAATACATTTTGGAGCCGTGCCGTCTAACTTATTAATAAATATACAAACAGTGGTAGTTCCTGTTTAGATTTTTTTAATGCATAGGGCTCTATAATAAAAAATATTTGGAGACCAGTAATAAAGATCAGTGGAATAGAATTGTTATACAGAAAAGCCCTATGTTCATATGAGAATTTAGTATGGTGAAACCATCATAAACAAATGTTAAAAAACTGATAAACTGGGAAAAAATATTTGCAACATACAAAGAAAAAATGTTTAAACAGGCAAAGAATAAGTAATTACAAACTGAATTAATACAGCCCCAAGCCTTACTAATTATAACAGTTATAAATTTTAGATAAATGAGATATTTCCCTCTACCTGATTGTCAAAAAATTAAAAATATTATTAGCTGGCAAGGATGTGAGAGAACAGTGTATCTAACAAAAATTTCAAAGGTCTACTCAAATCAACTGACTTAATTTCACTTTTACAAATTCATCAAAAGGAAACATTTCTATACAAATCTGTAGAGCTTATATGCAGGCAACTTATTACAGCGTGGTGTATAAGAACAAAATCTTGAAAATAATCAAAATGCCTGTCAATAGTAGATATGGTGGGTAAATCTTGATAGAGCCATACAGTGAAATACTGTTTATTTAGTTGTTGAAAATGAGGAAGATTTTAATGTACTGATGTGGAGAGATGTTCACAGCATACTGTTAACTGGAAAAAGTAAATTCCAGAATGATATGTATCATATTAAAAAATGCTTTTGGAAAAGCATATGACATGCATTTAAAAATACATTTGCATACAAGTGTTACACATATTATTTACTATATATTTATAGTCGTCATAAGGCCAGTTTGTGGCCTACATAGTTTGTAGCATCAGCATTAATTCCTCCTAGCTGCCCTTTCACCCAGCTTGTGACATGAATGTTCCTATCTTATCTTTCAGCCTCTCAGTAGGGGTGGTCTCTAACTGGCCCTCCCTGCCACGCCCTGTATGGTTGTGATAAGAACCAGTTGCTATCGTGCAACCTAGTCTCTGACCCACCATAGTCATTCCTTGCCCCTCCCAGTCATGTCCCATATAATTCCCTGTGATAAAAAATTCTCCCTTTTCCTGAATTTATGCACTAGAAACTTTTAAACTAACCAATAGGTCTTCAGTGCACCTTAACCCCGAGACCCCACCTGTTTGCCACACATAAGCCCTCTCCTACAGTCCCAGCTTATTGTTGCCTTGTTCCCGGGTACAACCCCCTGTGTGGCCCTCTGTCATGCTGTGGTTTCCTCTCTGGAACCTGTGAGTACTAAATTCTATTTGTTTTCCAGTCTTTCTGCATGAGTATCACTTCCTCATGCCACAGCTGACAGACCATCTACAACACCCACAGACCCCCCACTTTGGGTCTAACTTAATACAACTTTATATATATTTCAGTATATGTACACATATATTGAAAGAATTACCTATGCATACAATAACTCTCTAAGGATAAATAACCTAAAATCTTAACTGTTTCCTGGGGGGAGGGATATCAGGGGAGGGACATTTTTCATACACATTTATTTTCTGAAAGTTTTATAGTGAAGTAGTTTACTTTTGTAATTTAAAAAAAAACATGTATTACTTCAGTCATTAAACACATAAATTGAGATAATTAGATGTAAAGATTTAAGGGAAAAAGTGTAAATGGTCAAAAGATGACCAAAAACAAGGGAGACTGACAGTATTCAAAGCATCGCCAACAGTCTGCTATTTCAGTTTAAGTGGGAATGGGATGAAGGGCCAAGGAAGCTGTGATGGCTGCTGTGGGGAGGGTGGGGTGCTACTGGTGAGGGCGCCTGCACAGAAGGCTGGGTTTAGGATGACTTGGTGGAAGGCCAGCAAAGAAGATGGGGCCCTCCTTGACATTCACAAAGATATTACCAATCAAGAGACCGGGATAATTCATCTATAAGAGATTTGGATACTCCAAGTATTCTGAGTGCCTGATATGTGCTGATCACTCAATTAAGTTATATTGTTAGCTCATATTCCCTGAGCTTTTGTATTATCAGTTAATTACAGTGTCTTCAGCAGTGACATTGACAGTCTCATGCAAAGCAAAGAAAGACTGTTATAAAAAGCAGTTTCCTCAGATTTCATTCCCTCACAGAATCCTTCAAACACTGTTATACTGAATCACTTATCAATGTAGTGGGAATCATATTGGATGTGAGTTTTAGAGCCCTTCTCTGTGTTTCTGTAATAGACTACATAACCCTGTCACTGAACTCAGTGCATTGTCATGCAATCATCAGTTTATATGACTGTCTTCCTCACAAGTCTGGATTTTCTGGGTTCCTTTCTGGGACCTGTGAGTACTAAATTCTATGTTTTCCAGTCTTTCTGCATGAGTCTCACTTCCTTGTGCCATACCTGACAGACCATCTACAACACCCACAGACCCCCTTTTGGGTCAAACTTAATACAACTTAATATACATACTTCAGTATATATGTACACATATATTTAAAATATTGCCTATGCTTACAATAAATCTCTAAGGATAGGCGGGGCCACAGAAGCCGGATCCGGCTCCCCAAGGCAGAGCAGCTGCCATGGCCAAGTACCTGGCCCAGATCATTGTGATGGGTGTGCAGGTGGTGAGTAGGGCCTTTGCCCGGACCCTACGGCAGGAGTTTGCAGTCAGCCGGGCAGCAGCTGACGCCCGGGGAGGCACCGGCCACTGTTCTGCTGCTGCCTCCAACCTCTCCGGCCTCAGCCTCCAGGAGGCCCAGCAGATTCTCAACGTCTCCAAGCTGAGCCCCGAAGAGATCCAGAAGAACTATGAACATCTGTTCAAGATGAACGACAAATATGTGGGTGGCTCCTTCTACCTGCAGTCCAAGGTGGTCCGTGCAAAGGAGCGCCTCGAGGAGGAACAAAAAATCCAGGCCCAGGAGGACAGAGAGAAAGAGCAGGTGCCCAGGATGTGACCGCCATGCTCCCCACCCCACCTTCCCCACCCCTCTAATTTATAGCTCGGTAATAAAGGTCGTTTCTGAGGTCAAAAAAAAAAAATCTCTAAGGATAAACAACCTAAAATCTTAACCGTGGTTCCCTGAGGGGAGGGATGTGTGCCTTTGAATCCCCACCCAATGCCTAGCACAATACCTGGCATACAATAGGTGCTTAATAGTGGTTGGTTGAAGAAACAAATTAATACAGTGACTCAAAAGAAATTTAAAATGCCTTGGTGAGGCTATCTCATGTCTACAATAACTTTTTAAAATATTACTCAAGGCTCATTACCAACAAGGACCAAATCAGGTCTATCCTCTTTTTGAGGGTGGAGAACTTGGGTTTTCTTTTTAAACTATAGGCCTGGTACATAGCAGGCCTATAGTTTGCAGACCTGAATGGAAAGTTTTAGATTATCTCCCCCAAATAAAGGCATTCATAATTATTAGGAGAAATATCTTTATTCCATGGTCCTAAACCCTATCTTTAACAACTGCCTGTCAATTTATCATACTGTGGTGGCTTGTGTGTTGCTACGATGCTAGAAGCTATGCCACTGGTATGTCAAATACCAGCAGGGTCACCCATGGTGGACAGGTTTCAGTGGAGCTTCCAGACTAAGACAGACTAGAAAAAAAGGCTTGGCAATCTACTTCTGAAAATTAGCCAACAAAAGTCCTTTGGATCACAGAATATTGTCCAAGACATCGACTCGCTTACTTTGAAGTGTAATCACGCAGGACCAATTGCTGGAGAAGGACATCATGTTTGGTAAAGTTGAGGGCTGGTGAAGGTGAGGAAAATCCTCAATGAGATGGATTGGCACAATGGCCATAAAAATGGACTCAAATAATACCAAAGATCGTAAAGATAGCGCAGGACTGGGCAACATTCCATTCTGTTGTACATAGGGTGGTCATGAGTCAGAGATGACTTGATAGCAATGAACAAACACTATCTACTTACCACCACATAGCTATCTACAATGGGTGATCTGGGTCACAAGAAGAATTAGCAGCAGTCTACCACTGCTATTAGAATCAAAGACTAAAATTACAGGGCAGTGTCCTTCTCAAAGGGTAGACTACTTGCTCAACTGACGCATCAATCCAATAATTTTCCTAAATATAATTTTCTACAAAGGTGGAGAATTAGGAGGCTGTGACGTGGCTGCAAAAAGGTAGTATACAGGCAAAACTGTATACCTGAAGGCAAAACTGTATACCTGAAGGCAAAACTGTATACCTGAAGGCAAAACTGTGAAATTCTCCCTATTTGCCACCAGTATAATAGGTGCTGGAAAGTACTCACCCTTTTTCCTCCAGAAAGGCTCTTTATAATAAACTATACACTTGATGACTGAACCCAAAGGCACACGAGTGATCAGTTGGTTTCTCATCATTGGCAGAGGGGGATTGAAATGAATCTTCATGCCCAGAATAGGAGGAATAGCACTAATCACATATTTAGCCTAGAAGAAAAACAATGTGGTGAAGCATTGTTGGTTGGTTGTTTCTTTTTTCCCCCAATTATTCTCCCTCATTCTACGCTTGTGCCCCTTCAGCCTCTTCTTAGCACAGAAGCTAGAGGGAGAGTCTGTTAAAACTCTAATTTAGTTAGACCTTATTTTTCCTTCTTCAAAACCTCCAATGATTTCCCATCATGCCTGGAGTCAAAGCCAAGTTCCTTACAGTCATACATGTTCCTCCAAGGTCATACATGGAATGGACCACTGTCACATCTCTGATCTTACCTCCTGATATTCTTCCCCCTATTCCTCCTGCTTCTGCCATTTTGACCACCCTGTTGCCCCTTGATCATGCCAAGCTTGCTCCCACCTCAGGGCCTTGGCACTGGCTGTTCTATCTGCCTGGAACACTCTTTCCCCAGAAAGTCACATGGTTCAATCTCTTTTTTTCTTCAGTTCTGTGATCAGAACTTCTCAGTGAAACCTTCCCTGACAACCTTATTTAAAATTGCATGAGCAATCTCCCACCTTATCTTCTCACACACCCTCTTCCCCTGCCCTATTTTATTTTTTCCACTACTTATCACCATATGGAGAAGCCCTCGTGGTGCAGTGGTTAAATCACTCAGCTGCTAACCAAAAGGTCGGCGGCTGGAACTCGCCAGTTGCTCTGCGGGAGAAAGATGTGGCAGTCTGCTTCCATAAAGATTACGGCCTTGGAAACCCTGTAAAGCAGTTCTACTCTGTCCTACACGTCGCCATGAGTCAGAATCAACTCGACGGCAACAAGTATAGTTTTTTGTTTTTATCATTCTCTGATACAATTTATATTTAATTATTCATATTTGATTACAGTCTTTCTCCTTAATTAGAATATAAGTTCCATGAGGACAGAGATTTGTGTCTGTTTTTTTCACTGCTGTGTTCCTAACTCTTAGAATAATGCCAGGGCACATAGGAGGCACTTGATATTTATTAAATACATATTTTCTTTTGTTTTATAATTATGTAACAGCCCAACGGACATTGATAATATATGTTTTTGTAAATTCCCTCCCCAAATATTCTGGCTCTCTTTTCCTTTATTTTAGATAGAGGAAGTTTTTTCACTTTTGTCAAAGGACTGTCTATGAAATCTAGGGTATTCTTGGCTTTATTCAAGCATTGGTTATTGTTATGGGTTGAATTGTATCCCCAAAAAAGATATGTTGAAATCCTAACCCCCAGTACCTGGCAATATGACCTTGTTTGGGAATAAAGTTTTTGAAGTTAATATCAGTTTAGTAAGAAGTCATACTTGTATTAAAAAAAAAAAAAAACCAAAACCTGTTGCCGTCGATGCTGACTCATAGCAACCCTATAAGACAGAGTAGAACTGCCCCACAGGGTTTCCAAGGAGTGGCTGGTAGATTCAAATTGCCAACCTTTTGGTTAGCAGACAAACGCTTAACCACAGCGCCACCAGAGCTCCCATACTGGTATAGGGTCGGCTGAATCTAATATGAAGGATCCCTGGTGGCGCAGTGGTTAAGTGCTCAGTGGTTCTAACCCACCCAGAGGCTCCATGGGAGAAAGACCTGGTGATCTGCTTCCATAAAGATTACAGCGTAGGAAACCCTATGGGGGTAGTTCTACTCTGTCACATGGGGTGACTATGGTTCGAAAATCGACTCGACAGCTTTTAACAACAACAATCCAATATGACTAGTGTTCTTATAAATAGAGGAAGAGACACAGAAAGACACAGACACACAGAGAAGAAGCTATGTTAAAATAGAGGCAGAGATGAAGTGATGCGTCTACAATCCAAGGAACGCCAAGGATTGCCAGGAACCACAAGAAGCTAGAAGATGCAAGGAAGGATCTTCCCCTAGAGTGGATAGAGAGAGCATGTTGTCGTTGTTGTTGTTAGGTGTCATCAAGTTGGTTCCGACTCATAGCGACCCTGTGCATCACAGAACGAAACACTACCCGGTCCTGCGCCGTCCTCACAATTGTTGTTATGCTTGAGCCCGAGAGAGAGCATGGCCCTGCTGAAACATTGATTTTGGACTTCTAGCTTCCAGAACTCTGAGAGAATAAATTTCTGTTGTTTTAAGCCATCTAATGTGTGGTCACGGCAGTCCTAAAACAGTTCCTAAAACTGTTATCTATGGAATTTTGGCCTCTTCCCTCTAGTTTAAGGGTCTTAGTTACCTCATATATCTCATGGTTTAGAGTCTCCACAAGGATATTTTCTCCTGTCTGGTCAATGTGGGTCACAGGCCTCTCCAGCTTCACTTTGTCCCCAAGGAGATCCATAATCCGCTCACTCACTTGACCAGATCCACCCACAAATTTCCTCTCCTGGAAAGAAAAAAAAAAAAAAAAACTCAAGAAGTGGGTTAGGAAGTATAGGAATGGGCATAGATTGTTAAGCTGTTAATTTCCCTCATACCTTTACTCTGAGATGTTTTAAATTTCATTTTGTGTTGTGAATAGTGTCTTTCACCATTATTTTCTGTCTTAGTTATTTAGTGCTGCTATAACAGAAATATCACAAGTGGATGGCTTTAACAAACAGAACAAACAGAAATTTATTTTTTCACAGTTCAGGAGTCGAGAAGTCTGAATTCAGGGCGCCGGCTCTAGGGGAAGGTCCTTGTCTCTTCAACTTGTTTCGTGGTTCCTTGGAAAACTCCATGTGGCCTGGCATCAATCTCCCCCCATCTCTGCTTCATTAATCTGCTCCTTCTATATTTTGTAAGAGATTGACTCAAGATACACCCTACTCATTAACATAACAAAGAACCCATTCCCAAATGGGATTATAACCACAGGCACAGAAGTTAGGATTTTCAACACATATTTTGGGGGGACACAATTCAATACATAACATTCCATCCTTTGGCTTTCCCAAAATTCATGTCCTACCCACTTGCAAAACACATTCACCCCATCACATCGTCCTAAAAGTCTTAAATCAGCTCCAAGTCCAAAAGCTCATCTTCTGAATCATCTAAATCAAATATGGGTGAGACTTTAGGCATATTCCATCCTGGGGCAAAATTCCTCCTCATATGTTAACCTGTGAAATCTAGACTACAAGTTATCTGTTTCCAAAGTACAATGGTGGAACAGACACAAGGTAGACATTTCCATCACAAACGGGAGAAATTGGAGGGAAAGAAGGGATAACGGGCATCAAGTAAGTTCAAAACCCAGCAGAACGATTTACTTTAGCTCTCAAGGCTTGAAAATAATCCTCTGTTCTTTGGGACCATGTGGGCAATGACCCTGCCCTCCAGACTCTGGGTGTTGGCCATGCCCTCTGGATTCTCAGTGGAGGTCCCTTGGCCCTGGGCTTCTGCTCCACCTTCGCAGAAAGCAACTGGAATGGTAACTCTGCTCTCCTGAATTTGGGCAGACCCATTCTCCTAGCCCATCTGAGTTGTGACCCTACCTCCTTGGCCCTGGCAGGCCTGGTTCTTATGCCCCTCGGGCATGGCAGCCTTGTCCTCTCAGCTTTGGGCAGTGGCCCCTTACCCCTAGCACTCATGAATGGCAACCCCACGCTCCAGAACCAAGTTGGTGAAGAACTGACTCTTCTAAACCTAGGAGGCCACAACTCCATCCTTTGAAACCGAGGCAGCCCTGCTTCCTGTGCTCCTTCCAACAGTTCTGCTGGTCTCTGAGCTGCTCCAGGGATGGTCCTTTTCTTTTCTTGGAGGACAACAGATGTAGCTCCTTTGGCCTGTTTCCTGCTGGTAGAATTCCAAGAGGCAGACAGCTTTCTTTCCTGTCGTCTTGTCTCTTTCCCCTTCAGACTAAGCAGATGGGTTTTCTGCTGTGGTAGTTGGTTATATCCATCGGTCACAGGCTTAATCTCTAAAAAAAGATTGTGTAGTCACGCTCTTGGTGAAAATTCTAGGACACGTGTCCTTAGTTTGTACAACAGAATTTTCCAGATCTTTAGTTTTGTTTTCATTTTGCACAGTTCATTTTTAAGTCCATCTCTTTCCTCTCACATTTTACTACAAGTGGCAAGGAGAAACTACGTGGCGCCTTTAATATCTTGCTTAGAAATCTCCTCAGCTAAAAATTCAATTTCCTCACTTACAAATTCTATCTTCCACCAAGGATTTGAACACAATTCAGACAAGTTCTTTGCCACTGCATAAAAAGCATCACCTTTCCTCCGTTATCCAGTCATATGTTCATCATTTTCTTTTAAAGCCTCACCAGAAGCACATCTAACGTCCACATTTCTAGCAACATTCTATTGCTGGCACCATATGTATTCTCTAAGATGATAGAGACTTTCTCTATAGCTGTCCTCACTTCCTTCTGAGCCCTCACCAGAATTGCCTCTGACATCTACAATTCTACTGTCATAGTTTGAATTATGTCTCCCAAAAAATGTGTGTATCAGTTTGGCTGGGCCATGATTCCCAGAATTGTGCAGTTGGCCTCCATTTTGTGACTGTAATTTTATGTTAAAGAGGATTAGGGTGGGATTGTAACACCACCTTTACCCAAGTCATATCCTGATCCAATGTAAAGGGAGTTTCCCTGGGATGTGGCCTGCACCACCTTTTACCTTACAAGAGATAAAAGGAAAGGGAAGCAAGCAGAGAATTGGGGACCTCAAACCACCAAGAAAGGAGCACTGGGAGCAGAGTGCATCCTTTGGACCCAAGGTTCCTGTGCAGAGAACCTCCTATTCCAGGGGAAGACTGATGATGACGAGGACCTTCCTCCAGAGCTGACAGAGAGAGAAAGCCTTCCTCTGGAGCTGATGCCCTGAATTTGGACTTATAGCCTACTAGACTGCGAGAAAATAAATTTCTCTTTGTGAAAGCCATCCGCATGTGGTATTTCTGTTATAGCAGCACTTGATAACTAAGACATCTACCAATAGTCTCTTCAAGGCAACGTAGGCTTTTGCTATTAAAAACCAAAAACCAAACTTGTTGCCGTCGAGTCAATTCCGACTCATAGCAACCCTATAAGACAGAGTAGAACTGTCCCATAGAGTTTCCAAGGAGTGCCTGGTGGATTCAAACGACCAACCTTTTGGTCAGCAGCCAAACGCTTAACTACTTGCACCACCAGGATTTCCAATAAAAACCAAAAAACCAAACCCGTTGCCGTCGAGCCACTTCCGACTCTTGGCGACCCTATAGCACCTTAAAATTCTTCCAGCATCTACCCGTTACCCAACTCCAAAACCACTTACACATTTTAGGAATCTGTTAGAGGAGCATCCCACTCTTCCAGTACCAAACTCTGTATTTGTTATCTAGTGCTGCTATAACAGAAATGCCACAAGAGGGTGGCTTTAACAAACAGACATTTATTTTCTCATAGTTTAAGAGGCTAGAAGTCTGAATTCAGGGTGCCGGCTGTAGGGGAAGGCTTTGTCTCTCTGTTGGCTCTGGAGGAAGAAAGGTCTTTGTCTCTTCTGGGCTTCTGCTCTAGGGTGATCATACATATTTTGAAGGGACACAATTCAATCCATAACATTTTCTAACTAACGATTGCTTGTTTTTGTCAAAGTTACAGGTTTTCCAAGCTATGCTCTTGAGAATTCCCAGGTCCCAACCTTAACTTGACCTCCTCAGCCTGACCCCCATGTCCCGCCTGTCTGGTCACCACCCTTGCTGTATGTCCTATCTACACCCTTCTTGTTGGGCTGATGAGTTTGGTGAAACTCTGCCTAAAGGTGGGCCATCGCTTGCTTGAGCACACCTAAACCTATTTTCATCTTTCTGATTACTCAGGCTCAGAACCTCACTGCCCCATCCAGCCCAGCCTACTCACTGCTGGTGGTTGGTTGCCTGTCTCATCCTGGGTCAGGTACTTGCTGCTTCTGTGGCCACCTAGGTCATGTCAACTCACTGTTCCCACATGCCTGGAGTCCTGCTAAAGCTTCCAAATGTTCTCTGCATGATTGTGCAAACAGAGTTGAGCTGACTGCCACTTCCTAAACTTTCAGTTTAGATACTTTTTAAATAGACTATTTCAAATAGGTCTGGAAATAAAAATGAAAGAAGAAAGGGAAATGACTGCCAAGCAGATTACCTAAAAATTCTAATCCACTTCCTACTGTACAGTATCTTGTATGAAGCTGGGGTTCAGGAAAGAGTCATGGAAAGAATGAATGAGTGAATGAACAAATTCAGTGTGTGGTGTGTTTTTTAAATTGAAAGTGCATTTCTGACCTTCCTTTTTGAGCTTTCCAAGAAGTGCTCAACTTATATTCTTAAGACGGTCTCCTATGAACTTACCAGATAATAATTGGATGGATATCTAAATGGAAAACTGCAAAAGTACATAAAGAGGCAAGCCTAGTTTTAAGATTACATTGACCACTGGGCTCTCACGTTGGGCACTTAACACCGACTCTGCCTTACAAAGCTGCCTTGAACTGCCATGACAAAGCTCTAAATGTCATCTGCCTCCTGCTTCATCATTTCACAATTGAAGGATGACCCCAAAGGATGTCAATCTTCTATTGAGGCAGTGGCTGGTTTTCTGCTGGAATGGTTGGGGGATGTCTGGGTACCTGTCCTCCATTGGTTGCTGAGATGACCCTGGTTGTGCCACCACACTGCTTCACGTACCACAGGAACCAGAGAGCAGAGACCTCATGGGTCTCTGCAGTGACGGAGACGTTCACAAAGAGAGTGGCAAGCTGCTTCACAGATCTGCTCAGGAAGAAACAAGAGCAAAATTGGCAAACACAAGATTCCCAGTGGCTAAAATCTTCTTAATTCTCTGGCAATCATTCAACTGGGAAATTTACATAGCTATGTTTAGTACAATTTGGCAAGTCTCAGAAAATCATAGTTAGAATCCAACACTATAAAAGATGACATCAGAGACTTTGGTATGGGATTTATTTCCCCCTTAACCAAAATATCTTACTCAGAATCAGCTTGTACCCATGCTCTGTGCTGTCATGATTTCTCCCCACAAACCTGCTTCTTTTCCAGTGCTCCCCATTTCAGTAAAAGGCACCTCCATTCATCCAATTCCTAAGGCCAAAAATCTAGAAATTATCCTTAATTTCCTCTTTCCATCACTCTACCCCATCTGATCCTAGAAAGTCCTATTGTCTCTAACCACGTCTCTTCACCTTCATCACCACTAACTAAGCGTCATCTCTTGCCAGAAGTGTTGCAATTACTTCCTCCAGGTTGGTCTCTCTGCCTGCACTCTTCTCTCCAGGTATCTATTCACCACACTCGAAGTCCAACGCTTTTCACCTCTCTCCCTGCCATCGTGCTCTTTCTAAAGTGTAAATCAAATCATGCCACTCCCCTGCTTAACACCCTTCACTGGAATCCTATCAGAACCAGAATAAAATTCAGAACTTGTACCATAACCTCCAAAGCCCTAAGTGATCTAACCCATGCGTACCTTTTCTATCTCATCCTGTACCCTCCCCTGCTTATTCTTATGCTTCTTCAGAAAGACACACTGCTATTTGTCTATGAAAATTAGCACCAGCTTCCACACTCCCAGCCCTCTGGCATTCTGGACAGCAATTGGTATAGTATTTTAGAAATTGTTTCTCTATCTGGAAATTATCTTGGTTAGTAGTTTATTATTATTATTTTTGATTGCTGTCTCCCTCACTAGAATCTATAGATCCATGAGAACAGAGACCTTATCTTTCTTGCTCACCATAGTTTTCCCTTTAACAAAATAGTGTCTGGTACTTAGTAAGCATTCAATAATTAGTTGCTGGATGATTGAATGAGTGAATAATTGATAAGAAATGTCAATTAAACACTTTTTAAAAATCATGCAAAAGATGCAAAGGACATGCTAGATGCTGCCCCAAATACAGAATTAGTCAGAGTATCTATTTGGTTATTTTTTTACCAAATGGAAAACAAGATTGAAGGAGGGACAAGGGAAAAAAGTGATTAATAGAGCATAGATGGATTAACTTTGGCTTGGGACAGGCAGGTAAATGGAGAGAGATTGTATCCTATCTGGAGGCACACCAGAAAGTGAACAATCTCATGCAATTCCAAGGACTCAGGTATATCTAGCACGCTGTGAAATTCACCGGCACTAACATCCCCTCTGGAATATCATTAATAAAGACTTTTGTCATAAAGGTTCCCTCAAGTTTGAGTATTATTGTTGTTGTTAGCTGCCCTCGAGTTGGTCCCTGACTCATGGTGACCCCATGTGCAATGTAACAAAATGCTGCCCAGTCCTGTGCCATCCCCATAATGGGTTGCAGATTGAACCACTGTGATCCTTAGTGTTTTCATTGGCAGATTTTCAGAAGCAGATTGCCAGCCCTTTTTTTCCTAGTCTGTGTTAGTCTGGAAGCTCCCCTGAAAACTGTTCAGTCTCACAGCAACATGCAAGCCTTCACTGACAGACGGGTGGTGGCTATGAGTGAGGTACATTGGCCAGAAACAGAACCCAGGTCTCTGGCGTGGAAGACGAGAATTCTACCACTGAACAACCATTGCCCTCTTTGGTATTGTTAATCTGGTTACATGTGAAGCGGAATTTGCCACCTGGTGATTCTAATGATGGGTGAAATAAATAACACTGTCTTCCATTTACTGAAATCTTTCCACACTCCATAGTCTTTAAAGCTATTATCTTATTGAATTGTCATAACAGCCATGTAAAAGAGTTACTATTTTTCTCCAGTTCACAAGTCAGAAGACTGAGTCTCACAGAGTTTAATAAGATGTAGCTACATAGCTCATTAAACAGCACAACTTGTAGCCAGATTATATCTGACTCTAAAACTCAAGCCTTTATTTATTTATTTTTATGCTTAAACCCATGCTTTCAATATCTGAAAATGCTTTCTAATTAGTTAGCTCGGCAGTACAAATACTCACCAAGGGGCATGTCTTTACCCTGTAGGTTTGTAGACTCACACCTAACACATGTTATTGACAATGTTTGAAGCCATAACAACCTGACAGCACTTTTGTGACAATCCTCACCATTAAAACCAGCAAAATGGTGTAATATATACACTTCCGTGACTTCGAGTTAGTTTTATAAGATTTCTTCTGATAATTGGAGGGATGGAAGTTGTTCATTCGTCCCTTCCTTATGGAGGCAATTTGTAGCATCTATCTAAAGCAAATATCCAGACATTAGTTTAAAATATTACTTTAAAGTGAAAACACCCTTTGCTGTTTCCTGATATCCTATTTCTTTTGTTCCTTATTTCGTAAGTGAATTTGGGGGCATATGGTAAAGGGAGCAATAAATAATAAAATTTAACACTAGCCCGACTAGACAGTCAATAGTAAACATAAAAATATTGCTGCTATTCTAGTTGTTATTGTTGCCCACTTGGTGGGAAAGAAATAATGCTGGTTTCAAATGGAGGGAGATATAAAAATAATTCTCTCGGGAGGGCCAGTCCATTCCTAATCCTTTATTTGACTTACTTTGGGAGCTTCAATGAGAGAAGAAAGAGAACAATATCTGAGGGAAAGAAGGTAAAGGAAGCTAGTGCAATAATATTTTCATATTCTTTGCCCTGTTGACTTTTTAAAAGATAAATGTTATCATATTTTTGTACATTAAAAATATATACACATTATGTAAAATTTAGGAAGTTCATGGAAGTAAAAAGAAGATGAAAGAATATTTCTTCCATATTTCTGACCCCTAGAAATATTTTGGCATATGTTTTCTAAGTCTATGTTTTTGTAAATGTATTTACATAGTTTTGATCACACTGTAAATATAATTTTATGTTTTGGAAAAGCACTTTATAATTGAAAGAATCATCAATGTTAGTCTTTGAATGATGTGACTGGACTTTAGTTTGAAAAAAATAGTCTGTATATTCTGGGGATTACTTTCTTTAGAACCAAGAAATAATATCATGCATATCGTGCTTTAAAAAGTTAGAAGATAGCTTTGTGTTCTTATGCTTCTAAAATCTCAGAATGCTTTATTTAGTCATCCAACAATCTTGAATATTCACTAAGTAGAGGACTGGGCCAAAAACTAAAGTAGAAAAGTCAAGTCTCTGTGATCCCAAAGAAATATAATTGATCTTATCTTCAAGGAGCATAAATACTCTCTGGGGAGAAGATGACTGACTGATCTCATTAAAAGCTTTTCATAAAAGAAGTTATAAATAAATGCAGCCCATTATATACTCACTATATTCTGAAAATCTGAATTATACCATTTAAAAATAAATAGTAAAATTTTATTACAAACAAAATAAGTTATATTACAAACCACATCCTCATAAAAATGTTAAATAGCATTAAAAACTAGTTGCTGTCAAGTCAATTCCAACTCATGGTGACCCCATATGTGTCAGAATACAACTGTGTTCCATAGGGTTTTCAATGGCTGATGTTTTGGAAGTAGATTGCCTGGCCTTTCTTCCAAGGCACCTCTGGGTGGACTCGAACTTCCAACCTTTCTGTTAGCAGCTGAGTGCATTAACTATTTGCATCACCCAGGGACTCTTAAATAACATTAGATAAGTGTTTAAAAGGATATAATTAACCACATGCATTGATTTCATGAAATAAAAGGATTTTACTATTCCATAATTGGTTGCCTTCAAAGGTTGAAGTCATAGGAGAAGCTCAGAGATGTTTATTACAGAGTGTTATATAATAATAATAATGAAAAAAATGTAAACAACCAAAACGTCCAACAGTATGGTAATAAGTAAATAAATTATGGTATTTACTTCCCATGGAATATTCTACAACCATGAAGTATAATGTTTGCTGAAGCATTTTTAATGACCTGTATGCTTACATTGTAAAATGTGTTAACAAAACAAAAACAGTTGATGAATGTCCATTGTTTTTGCAGTGCATATATGTTGTTGTTGTGTGCCATCAAGTCAATTCTGACTCTATAGCGACCCTATAAGACAGAGTAGAACTGCTCCATAAGGTTTCCAAGGCTGTAATTTTCATGGGAGCAGATCTCCAGGTCTTTTCTCCCTCAGAGCCACTGGTAGGTTTGAACCGTCGACCTTTTGGTTAGCAGCAGAGTGCTTAACCATTGTGCCATCAGGGCTCCTTAATGCATATAGAAAGTTTTCTTTTTTTAAGTGAGATCATATATCATACTGTACATGCTCACAACAGCTTACTTTTTATGTATTTAATACATTTTTTCAAGGTATTAAATATTCTTCTACAACATGATTTTAAAAGATTGTATTCTTTTTTTTTTTAATAACTGAAATTGTCTTCTTTGAACCCTCCCTTTTTTGCCATAATGTGTTTTTGTTTTAATTGTGGTAAAATATACACAATATAAAATTTGCCATTTTAACAATTTTCAAGTGTACAATTTCAGTGGCATTAATCACACTCATGATGATGTGCAACCATTACCACTATTTGTTTCCAAAACTTTTTCATCACCCCAAACGAGTATTCTATTATTTTTTGGATATCCTGGTGGTGCAGTGGTTAAGAGCTCAACTGCTAACCAAAAGGTCAAATCCACCAGTCGTTCCTTGGAAACTCTATGGGGCTGTTCTACTCTGTCTTGTAGGGTCGCTATGAGTCAGAATCAAATCAACGGCAACGGGTTATACTTAATTTAACCAATTTCCTGTTGTTGGACATTTATATTTTCTATTTTAGAAATAATGCTTTGAATCTCTCTCTCTCCCCCCTCCCTCCCTGTAAGCTTTTCTCCCTCTCTTCTTTTTCTCTCCTTCATTAAGCTAAATTCTAAGAAGTTGAATTTCCACACCAAGGAGTATATACAGTTTCATGTCTTTTGATTATTTTCATTCCTTAGATTCAGATAATCCTAAAACTTTATTTTTACTTTTAGTTGTTAGTGCTCCAGCTTCTCTCCTCAATGCCCAGAGAATAAAGACATCAACTCCAGAGCCAAACATATTCCCAACTAATGCTGTTAGGATAGGAGGGCAGTTTCTTTGAATTTGGCTTCCATCTCTCTTACTGTGTTCACCACAAATTTACCATGTGCTTGGAGTGGAGCCCTACAATCCTTTTCATTTTCCCTGCCGTCCAAGAGCAGTGAGGTCTCTCCATGTTGTCTGCCCATATAGCCCTGGAGATTTATATATAGCTCCTGGCACTGCCAACAAGAATTCAGTGTTTGGCTCATGAGCGTCATTGTTTTCAATGCTACATGTTTTTCACGAAAGGAGCACATTCAGTCCACTCATACATTTCCCCTACTGTTGGCAATTATCTAGAGAACTTCCCTAGAAACGCTTCTTCAAATCCTCGAAGAGTTGCACCCATCATGCAAAGCATATGCTAACCATCACTACACTTTATCATCAATGATGAGTTAAAAAAAAAAGGATTACTACATCAACAATTTGAAAAATAGAATCTTTATACTGATGGTCTTTAAATTGTTCTAAGTAAAGGAAATGGCATATTCTGGTTTGTTCTGAGGACTTTATACCACCTTTGTGCTGCAAAAACTATTCCAAAGAAGTAGGGTTTGATGTGTAGACATCTTTGAGGCAGGACTCAGTTCCAATATTTTTCAGCGCTCCACCTGGCCTCTAGTGCGGTTTTAGACACAAAGCAGCTACTTGTCCCACACTTGTTGAATGATATTGCTAAATAAACCTAAAATATGGTCACAACAAATGGCTGTGCCTAATGAAAAGTCTTACTCGGTCCAGCAGATCTTGTCCAGGAGCTCCTTCATCGTCATGCGGTCCCACTCCTCTGCAAGGGGTGCCTTCCATGGAGCATCACTGGGAATCTTCATTCAGATGAGGATTTTGAGGGGAAAAACAAATGTCTTTTTCCATTTTAAATAACTGTTTAAATAACATTAAAAACTCTAACTTAAAAAAGAAAATGTAAGTTTTCCAAATTCTCCCAATAGTTACTTTTACAGCACAACCAGTACTGTTTGTGTAGCTTTCCTATTGTAGCTCCATGCCACTCAATCCATATATAATTTTGATAATACTTCTTACGCAATAATTGGAGGGCGTGTCATAATTGGACTGTTTCCAAATGTGGATTACTGTTACTAATTTATAGAGAACATTCATGAATTCAGCTCTTTAACAAGGATCAGACATCTGCATCAAATCATGTCAAAATTGGAGTTTTAAGTTAAACTTTTTGCATAGGTGTTTATTTATAGGCTGCAGGTTTGGGCATGGGGGAAACTCAAAGACCCAGAAGTCTTATTTTTCTATGTCATGAGGATTTTCTAAAATAGAATCATCATCCCAGGAAGGCTGAGTGATGTATCATCTTTCTCCCCTCATCAATAGTATATGAAAAGCAGTCTATTTGACATCTGATTCTTTCAGAGGTTAGAAACAAGTTCATTTTACAAACCTTTATTGAGTTACTAAGTGCTAGACAATATGCTAGACATTGGTGGTACAGTGTTAGACCTTCTTTTTTCTTTTAAAGACTAACTTTATTATGAAAAATACACATGTAGTCAAAGAAGATTTAGGAAGCTTTACCTCTCGTCCCATGTCATCCATTGTCCTCCATAGGTTATTATGATCTAGATAAGCAATTGGATTCCACACACGTGGGAATGGCCCCTTGAAGGGGTATGATTTTCCCTGTGAAATACAAGACATTTTTAAAAAGAAACGTTTGCTACAATGTAAAAGTAGTTAAATCTGAGCAGTTGGTAAATGCCTACAAGCCAAAGCATGTAAGTTATCAATAGGTAATATACATTCAAGTGTTTTAGTTCCTTATATCCTTAAAACCCTACTTAATTTTTTAGCATGGATTCTCAGCAAAATTCTCTGTCAACTAAATAAGTTTGGTACCACAGCAACCATGTTACCAAAGAAGTTTCTCTCTGAAATTGGAACTCAGGCTGTATAAAATTTAAATACCAATACAGAAATATGGTTACCTAAACTAATCTCTTTTGCCAGTGATACTTGCAAATATCTCAGAGACAGGAGACCTTGTGTGCCTGGAATGTCAGAAAAGTATTACTATAAACATTATACAAGTTAAAGGGGGCTGAAAAAGAAGTCACAGGAAAGCAACCATCTGTAGGAAAAGCTGCAGGCTTTGCCAAGGAGTCAGATATGCTATGTTAGGTCAACACAAGAGCTCCCAGAAATAGCAAGGTCAAAGCAGAAAGAAAGGACAAGTACGAGCTTTTCCTCTAGATACGTTTACACTACCTGGTTCTTCTGCAGTGACACCTTGACACAGAGATAAAGGGAACACTTGTCTCCAAGGATTAAAACTTAAACAGCCCACAAATCATCTCTGGAAAGCTTAACTTATTAAAGGCAGTTAAGGGACAAAGCACACAAAGAGCTTTGAGTTAATGTGAAAACCTGAGTCAAAAGTCAGGCTGTGCCTTCTGACAGCAGCTTTCAACAGAATCAGAATAACTCAAGGTTCTCAGTCAACTTAAATCTCACAAGAACTCTGAATTATTCAGCAAAGATTCATATGATTGTTTTGTAGGCAGAGACACTGGAATTGTGTTATTTCATGTTCGTTCTTGCATTAATTCAGTGACGATGCTGGTCTTCTCTCTCTAAAAAGGCGATAGAGCTCTCAGAGAAGAGTTGAGACACAAGCTTAATTTTTTTCTTACAGCTTTATTAAGATGTAATTTACATACAATGCACCCATTTTAAGTGTTTTGACACATGTATGCACCTGTGTAACCACCACTACAATCAGGGTATAGAATACTCCCATCAACCCCAGAAATTTCCCTCTTGCCCCTCTTTGGTCAATCCTCACCCCTTTCAGGCTCTAGGAAGCCACTGACTTGTTTTCTGTCACTATAGGTTCAAAAATAAAAAAAAAGGAATCATACACTATGTACACCTTTATGTCTGGCTTCTGTTGCTCTGCATAATGTTTTTGAGGTTAATCCATGTTGTTGCCCTTTGCTCCTCTTTATTGATAAGTAGTATTCCATTGTATGGATGTACTACATTTTGTTTATCCATTCACCTGTGATGACTATTTCAGTTTAGGGTTATTGTTAATAAGGCTTTTATGAAAATTCTTGTACAGCTCTTTTTGTGTACGTATGTTTTCCTTTTTCTTGGGTAAATGCTTAAGAATGGAATAGCTTAGTCATATGATAGATGTATGCTTAACTTTTTAAGTTTAACAGTTTTGCAAAGTGAATTGTATCACTTTACATTTTCACCAGCAATGTTTGAGAGTTCTTCTTGCTCCACATCCTGACCAACATTTGCTGAATTTTCTTTATATTCTAGGCTTTAAATACTTTTTTTGTTTGTTTGTTTTTGGTCTGAGAAAGCTATTTTAATTGTCATTATAAACTGTGTTGTTTTGGGAGATGCAGCCCCCAATTTTCAGAAAGCACTGTGAAACACAGTTGTTATTTTAGGATAATATTAGATTTACAGAAACGTTGCGAAGATAGTACAGAAAGTTCCCATATACCTCTCATCCAGATTCCCCTAATGTTAGCATCTTACATTACCATGGTTTATTTATTAAAACCAGGAGATTAACAATGGTAACAGTAATATTAACTAAACTTCAGACTTTACTAGGATTTCACCAGTGTTTCCATTAATGTCCTTTATCTGTTCCAGGTTCACATCCAAGATACCACACTGCATTTAGTCATCATGTCTCATTAGTCTTGTCTGGCCTGTGACAGTTTCTCAGTTTTGAAGAGTACTGTCAGGTATTTTGCAGAATGTCCCTGATTTTGGCTCTGTCTAAAGCTTTTTGCATTATTAGACTGGGGTGGTGGGTTTTTTGGGAAGAATGCAGCAGAGCAGAAGTGACTTTTCATCATCATATCAATGGACACATGATGTCAACATGGTGATGTTAACTTTGATTGATTAAGATGGTGTCTGCAAGGTTTCTCCACTTTAAAGTTTAAATTTTTCTATTTCCATACTCTATTCTTCGGAAGCAAGTCACTAAGTCCAACCCACACTCATGGCACAAGCATTAAGTGCTGGCTTGTTAACCAAAAGGTTGGCAGTTCAAATCCACCCAGAGGCACCTCAGAAGAAAGACCTGCTTCTGAAAGGTCACAGCCATGCAAACCCTATGGAGCAGTTCTATTCTGTATACTTGAGGTTGTCATGAGTCGGAATCAAGTCCATGGCAACTGGTCTGGTTTTTCCTGGTGGTGGTGGGGGGGATACCTACATGGATAGTTTGGAATTCTTCTGTAAGGAAGATTTGTCCCTTCTCCCCTATTTATTTATTCAATCATTTATTTTTATAAGTATGTACTCATGTATATTTATTTCATACTTTGGGTTATAATAATACTATTATTTAATTATTTATTTTGTCGCTCAAATTGTTCCAGCTGCAACCATTGGGAAGCTCTTCCGGGTTGGCTCCTGTGTACCCCTTTGACATGCCCCCATCCTTCTGTTTCTTGAGCACTTCCTTACTTTTTGGCACTACAAGATTCTCCAGGCTCATCTTTATTTTCTCTGCTCTAGCCCTAGAATCCGCTATTTCTCCAAGGAGCCCTATCTCCTTTTATTGGAAAATATTATTTAGAAGCCAATATCTGGATGCTGGGTACATGCTGACTTTTTTTTTTAACAGCTTTATTGAGATATAATTAACATACCACACAATTCACATGATGACTTTCAAAAACCTCCACTTATGCCTTCATCAGAGTTCATCACATAGAACTTGCTCAATAGGAGACTGTGGATTGATCCTTGGGATCATTCTCCATGAAGGAGCTGTGGATCCCCATTCCAGCTCTGCCTCTCCTAAGCTGGCTGCCACATAGCAAGCAAGCTTCTTAATTTCCCTGAGCCCCAGATGTCAATCTTTGCAAGTTAACATCTATTGACACTGTCATCTTCCTCCAGGATGTCTGCCCAGATTACCATAAACAGCTGGGTTAGATGGCCTTCTCAGTGTCCCAGAGCTCAATATGTTTGCCCTTCACGTGCCACTGACTCCAATGTACCATCTTCCTGTGTTTACTATTCTGTGGCCCCCATTGGGCTCCAGGGTATGGGCTCTGGAGTCAACCTACCTGGTTCCAGTCATGGCTCTGCCACGTACTAGCTGTGTTAAGTTGATTAACCTCTCCGTGTCTTGGCTTACAGCTGTAAAATGTGATGATGGTAACTACTTAACAGACATTGGAAAGACGAAATGAGTTGATCCATGTAAGCCATTTTGAACACTGCTTGGCATGTTGTAAGTTCTCAATAAATGTTGTTGTTATTACTGCAGCTGCTACTGTTGTAATTTTAATCTTTGTATGTCTAGGACTTGCTGGCACAGATTGCTGGCACATAGGTGCTCAGTACATATTTGATATCATCTCAGCCCTATGACCTTTATCTTGTTATTTATTTGACACACTATGTCCTGATTTCTAAAATGACCTGTAATTTGGTTTCCTATGCTACTAGCCCTCTTGTTTTTAAGTCTTGTTTAAAGTCTCCCATTGAGCCCAGATCTACTCTGGCCTCTGCAGATCCCCACCAGCAGAATACTGCCAACTCCTACCCTCCTTCCCATCCCATCCACACACAGATGCACTTATACAAAGGGAGTGTGGGATGGAACTCAAATAGTGAAGAACCACAGAGGGTAAGATGTAGCTAAGACTAGCATACAAAGAAATCTCTCTAGACTCTCACTGTAGCACTGTACCCACAGGTGAAAGGGATTGGAAACAGATAAAACCATGAGAAAGTTGAATAGCCTCCTTAAATAAGAAAAACAGCATGTTTTTGTTTGAAAACCACTTAGGACAAAGACGGAGGGAAATAAATTAGTACTTGGCCAGTTTAATTATTCAGTGTTTTTTGTTTGTTTTCACAAACACTGGTTCTGCCAGAAAGAGCCAACAAACGACCTGAGGAAGAGTGTCAGCCCAGCATATTTGTTTAATTGGTGTCGGCTCTGTCACTGCCAAGGTCAGCACCAATAGCCATGGCAATTCCTGGGGACATAAAGACAAAGTTGTTTCTGAAAGTGAGAACTACTGTCTGACTCACGGGGCTTGGCTTGGGAAAAGTGAAGAACATATTTTGGGTGAAGGCAGAATAGACTGAGAAAACATGACCTGTATGTGGAGCCCTGCCCAACAATGGTATCTACTCCTGTCATTCAAGATATGCTATGAGGAGGCAGGGCCAAAACTGCGGAGTAGTCAGAAGCTTCTGGTAGACCATCTTACAACAAAGACCCAAAAAAAACAAGTGATTTGATTATATATTGCAAGCTGGGAGCTCTGAACATCAAAGGCAGAGTTGAGGAACCCGACTGAGTGGCAGAGGGAGGGACAGTCAATTAAGAAGCAGCGAGGAGTTGCCAGACTGGACCCAGCAAGAGCCTGAGCCCTTCAGACCTAAGCAGCTTGTGGGTGAGCGATGAGGCAGGCAAGCGGTGCTGCTTGGGAAGTGCGTTTTCTGCACCAGGAGAGACCCAGCGCCAGAGAGTCTACACGGCCACCCAGAACCAGTGACAAGCAGCCTTCATCGGCAAAAGATAAGTACTTGTGTACAGCTTACCGCGTGGATCAAAAACAACCCCCTTAGGGAAAAACCTCTCTCCCATTTACCTCCCTGCTCCCTACTCTGCACTGGGT